CCGCTAAAACTCAATCCTTGGGTTTTGCAAGTTACACTATAAATTTAACGAATCCCGGCCAGCTTTTAGTCAATTTAACCAATAATAAGAACTTTAGGTTGTTGCTAAAGTTTTGCTTTTGGAAAAGTTGTCTTGCGAAAGTAATAGCTAAAAATTGAAAAGGCCTGGTCGCAAAAACTCAATCCTTATAAATGAGGATCAATACCGTAATTTTTCTGAATTTGAGTTGATTTACAATCAATTTAAACGATAGTGAGAATGAAATGACTTATCAGTCAGAAGGGATCCCGTTATGAGCAACGCCGCCCAGGCCCCCGAAAACGTCACCCAACCCCTCGCGATATCGCCGGCAAAGGGGGCAACAGGTTCATCGCTTATTAGCAAGAGGATTTGGCGTTCAGAAAGCTTGAATGCAAACCAAAAAACTTGGAAAACAGCAAACAACATGTTTTTGAACGGATTGCATCCGAAAAGCTAGCTGGATTGACAATCGCGAAGCAGCCGCCGAAAGTCAATCCTTGGGTTTTGCGAGTTATGCTATAGTTTTTACAATTTCCCATGAGTTTTTAGTCAAGTTAACGCATCCTAAGAAGTTCAGCATGTCTTGAAAGCTTTGCTTTTGAAAAACTCGATTAGCTAGCAAAATATCGGGAACCAGTTTGATAGAGCGCTGACCTGGCAAACTCAATCCTCGCAATTGATGATTCATACCGTAATTCTTATGATTTTGCGATGTTTTACAATCAGTTCTGACGATATTGGGATTTAAACTTTATCATAAAACTTTTCCCTTTAATTCCAGCATCAATCTGTCTGTTCGACCCGCTGCCGAGACCCTCAAAACCGCGGGCACGCAAACTAAACTGAATCCTTGGGTTTAGCAATCTATGTCGTAGATTTAACAAATTTCGACCGCCCCAAATCAATCCTTGGGTTTTGCGAGTTAAGCGTCAGATTCAGCAAATTTGAATGACGTTGGGGTCAATTTGCCGCACGCCAAGAATTTTATAATGTCTTATCGTTTTGCTTTTGAAAAAGAAAATATCGACTTATTGAGATAATTTCGAGGGCGATCGGAAAACTCAATCCTTAATCTTCTTGATCGATGCTCTGAATTTCACAAATTCAGAACGTTTTATGTTCAATTTAAACGATATCATGGTTTAAACTTTAGCAGAAAGCTTTTCTTTTAACTCCAGTCACAACCAGTCTGTTCGACCGCACCAGGCGAGGAACTCAATTCTTCTGCTTTGTGAGTTATTCATTAAATTTTACAAATTTTGGGCGGTTTTTAGTCAGTTTGAAGGAAGCTACGCATTTTAAAACGTTTTTGACGTTTCGGTTTTGTGAAAATGGATTACTAGTTTATGGGTATCCCGGGATGAATTTCGAATGCCACGCCGTGCAAAGTCAATCCTTAATCGGTGAAAGGACCCAAAAAAGAGCCGCGTGGGGGGGGTACCTCAACCCAAAAAGGATTAGCGGGCTCCGCCCGCTAACCCCGATTTTCCCGATACATGCTTGGAATTTTACAAATTCAGGATGCGTTACAGTCAATCGAGAAACGATATTGAGGCTTACTTTAACACAAAACCCTTTTCCTTCAATTCCAGCATCAAGCTATGTCGCTTCAAAATCCCGGGATTCAATGAACTCAATCCTTGCGTTTTGCGAGCTATGCGATAAATTGTACAAATTCCAATCAGTTTTCAGTCAATTTAATGAATTCTAAGAAGTTTACAATGTTTTGAACGTTCTTGGTTTTAAAAGAATCGATTCAGTAATCTGGAGACGATTTCGAAGGTCTGAGTCCAAACACTCAATCCGTCATTTTCATTTCCACTGCCCAAAATTTTGTTAATTCGGAGTGTTTACCGTCAATTTACACGATGGTGAGATTTAAATATTTATTAGACAGCTGTTCCCATCTTTTTCAGCGAAAATCCGCATGACCAGCCAGATGACGATCTCCTTCCAAACAACACGACGGACAACCGGGGCCACTTTGCATGGGGGATGGTCATTTTTGGGGCTGAAGTGGGAGACAGAGTGTCCACTATGCACCCCCATATATGCAATTGGTTGCGGGGTGGACAGGACGATATTTGTCTTTTCACAAAGTGACGTCCCTCTCGCCCGCCCCGGTGGTCAAGCGACTACCCATTCTATGCAGATCGGGTCCTGTAGGGCTGTGGTATCTATATCTTGTCTTACAGGGCTTATATTCTGTTAAACTGACATCAATACCGTAAGAATTCAAAGGATTGAGAGTTTTATGTACCTAAAAATTTAATTTCGAAACTTCCGGTCGCCCAAATCGGCGAGAAAGAATGGAATTAATACATATCGAAGCCGGTCTGTCGATATCGATATTCAATATCCTGTATTACAAAGGTCCTATTCTCTTAAACTGACAACAATACCGTAAGAGTTTAATGGATGAGTTTTTTGAACCATTCAGACTCGAATTTCGACCGAAACCTTGGTATTTCGCCTCCCTATGTTTACCTGCCCCTACAGGTGGTTGAAATGTCATTGGTTGGGCCATCTGTCTGTCTGCCTGTCTGTCCATCTATCATTCCTTCTGTCTGTCTGTCTGTCCATCTCTGTCCACCATCCCGAACCGCAATCCCCTCGATTTCAAGGCCAATCCCCCCCCCCCTTCAACCCTATTCGATGCCCTCCATTCAACAACCTGTATACTGCCGTCCCCTCCAAACAGTAGTCTCTCTTCCCTTCTGGGGTCAATCCTATTCTCCATCTCCTGCTAAAGGCTTTTCCGTATACTCCAGCTTACTCTTCCCTATCTGCCATTCACTCCCCCAGGCTGCCCGGTCTCGCTTTCGCATCAAATCGGGCGTTGTCCGCCAGTGTACTGTTTACACCTCCTACTGGTAGTCATACTACCAAAAATCACGTTTCCTGGGTACTTTTGCATTATCGGGGGGGTGGTTTCCGATTTTTCCAGAACTGTTGGGTAACGCAATCAAACACATTTTAATGATGTTTTCAGTAAATTAAACAAGATTTAAAATGCAAACACTACAAAACTTTCCAAAAATTTTGAAAAAATAAGGTTTTTTGGAAAATCGATGTTTTTGAAAAAATTTGGTTCACTCACACGCTAATGGAAAAACTCTGATCCCCAAATAATCGCTGCTAGCTGGCTCGAGAGCTACACAGCGGGCGTCAAATCAGCTTTTGACCCAGATTGTCAAGCAGTCTTTGCTTTTTGCGAGTTCGAAACCCTCCATTCTTTTCTCTGAAGGAAAAGGGAAAGAAGATGGCTTCTAGCGCCTTCCCTCCTTCTTTTTAGATTTCCCTCCTTCCAGGGCGTTGGTTGGCCTCCCGGCTGATCTGTTAGTCAGTCTGTCCGTCTGTATATCTGTTTTTCTATCTTGCTGTCTGTCTGTCAGGGGCGTCTTTCTCTTTCTCTCTCTCTCTCTCTCTCTCTCTCTCTCTCTCGCTCTCTCTATCTCTCTCCATATGTCTGTCTGTCTGTTCGTTTGTGTGTACCATTTGTCTTTCTGTCCTCCATCCCTCCCAAATCCGCTCGCTAAGTCGGCGCACACCTTCTGCTGCTTCTTCTTCTTCTTCCCCGGGTCCCGAAGCGCGTCTTCTGCTTTCCCCCCGGGGCTTTTCTCATTCCTAGGCGCCGAGCCCCCGTCCCAAAAATAATAACACCAGAACTAACACCTGTTCCGTTGGACAACCTCAACGGCGCTTTACTTTTTCCTGGAACTACCGTACGGGACAACCGATTTTTTGTTGACGCTCTATATGCTGCGTTTCCTACCGTAACCCTAAAACTCCATCCTTGAAAAAGAATTTTCTCATACTTTCTCTATTTGGGATCGTCTCAAGTCAGTACCGGCAATAACTTCGAGGCGGGGAAGGATTTTGAAAAAGTGATGGATTTGTTGCTAAAGCCCGGTCTTATCGGTTTCCTCCATTCCGTATCCCGAAAACCTCAATCCTTAAAAAATTATCTTCTGGGCTTTCTCCTTATTTGAATCGCTCCAGCATTGGTCAGAAAATGTAGCTGGATCAAAGATTTTCAAAAACCAATAAATTTACTGCTAAAATTGGTCCGTTCTGGTCTCTCCATACCATATCTTGAAAAGCTCAATCCTTGAAAAAGTATTTTCCAGACTATTTTCCTAATGGAATTGGCTTATTATGAGCCAAAAAAAAACGTGACACAGTCAAGGGTTTTAAAAATGAATGAATTTACTGCAAAAAAAGCTTCTCCGTGGCTCCCTACCGTATCTCAGAAAACTCAATCCTTCAAAAAGCGATTTTTCACCTCTTTTTCCATAGCTAGAGGTTTATTGCTAAACAATAGAACGAAGTTTGTGAATTTCCTCAAAAATTACACGAGAAAACCCCTTTTACTTCTCCAGTACGATACCTTCCAAAACTCAACCCTTCAAAATTGCCACTCTCAATTCTTCAACCATCCGCATCGCTTCTTTACCGGCCAGTAAACCGGGTTTTATGTTTTTTCCCTCGGACAGTTCAAGGTTTTTTCGACATAAACAAGAGTTTGCCCTTCAAACTGACTGGTATCCAGTTTGATGGTAATCAATGAGGATCAACTGGGGAGCATGGGCCAATTCTCGAGCCACAAATCGCATCGTTCGGTGGGAGGGATCGAGCAATTACCTAGCAAACCGTGTTTCTTTCTTGACAGAGGGCGAGAGAGAGCCAGAGAGAGAGAGAGAGCGAGAAAACAACATAAAGACAGGTTTCATTCATTCATTCTCCTTTCTCCTTTCTCCTGCTCCTCGTTCTCTACCCATAACATACAATTTGCCTATTCAAAGCGGTGCCACCACAAACTTTCCATTTTCCAGCGTTATTCCGGGCATTTCCTTGATGGCAAACCATTCGTTCTCCTTTTCTGGCTAGTTTCCGAACTTTCTAAATCAACGTTATCGTTTTTTTTTTCAGAATTCCCCATCATTGCCAGGTTACAAACTGGCCGGCCCTCGATTGAAATGCGTGCCATCAGCGGCCGTATCGCCCTGAAATGTCTTCAATTATTATCAACAGTCCTTCTGATAATCGTCCTCTCCAATCTCGGCACTCAATGGATTCTCCTCATCGGATCCCTATTTGTGCCCCCGTTTGGCATATTTATGATTCTCAGGTAAGTCCGAATTTCGGAGATTCTTAATCGGCCAAAAATCCCTCGTGAAAAATGGGAAAGTCAAAGGATGACGCCTTTTTCGAAAACTCAATCCTGTGGTTTATTCTTTGCGGGACCCAATGTCGTCCAAAAAGTAAAGTTTGATGGCAGTTTATACATTTTTTGGCAGGATACTGTAATTGCCAGGATACCAGCAACTTATCGATAAAAACCTAAAAAAGCAAAAATTCAATCCTGTAGTTTGTCCACGATAGGATCCAAAAGGGTCATAAAGGCTAGTTTTTGGATCAGTTTGTAATTTTGAAGACAGGATACCGTAAACTTACTTGAAAAGTTGCCAAAAAACGCCTTTAGACCCAAAAATATCGATTTTTAGGTCCCCGGATCGCCAAAAGCACCTCCTACCCTATCAGACCTACGTAGCAGTGGCTGCTGGCAGACGGTAAAGCTCTATAAAAGTCTAAAAATCATCAAAATCCAGATGGCTTCGAGTGGACGCGGCTCTTTGCGCGTGTATGTGCCTCGCATTCCTCGGATTCTCCTTGATTCTAATGCTAGGTGCTGGAAAGGTGGGACAAAGTTTAGCTGGGAAATCCACTAAAATACTCTTTACTGTCCGATAGATTACCTACTGACACCCATTGCAGACAGCCACCCCCTCACAATCACAGCTTCTCCTCTTTGCGGGTGTTTGTGGCCTTGTCTCCGCCCTGGCCTACGGTCTAAATATGATCATCTCATTGTGTCATCTCCGAATGGCTACTATCGACTTCTCTGGGGCTATCATCAATCAGGCAAAGATTGCACAACCTGGAAAAACTGCCAAGGTACGGATTTTCCTTTCGCAATTGGGCGTTTTGGAAGTCAATTCGCTTGAATTTCATAGTTTTTCTATCGTTTTTCCCGTATTTTTCTTCAGAAAGTCATAATATATATTAACTGGGGGGAAGTTGATACCGTAATGAGTTAAGACAAGCTCGGAGTGTTTTTAATAACGTAATCTGATGTTTTACTAGCCAGTAAAATGGAATTTTAGACCACATTCCCGAATTTCCTAGCTTAACGGTCTTTCCTATCGAAATTTGTCGTTTTTGATCCAGTAAAAACGAATCCAACCGAATTGGCTCACATTTCATATCGTAGTTGCTTATAAAACCGTTTAGGTATGCCCACTGCCAAATGGTGAAACCCCTCTACCACTCCATATCGACACACTCGATCGGTAAGTGGAGTGTTGTTCCAAAAAATGTCAATCCTTAGATTCCACCAATCTCCTCTTCCATTCCCGGATGATAGTCTATGTAGGAATGCCAAATACAGAAGTGACTGGGATCTACCGTCGTATTTTCAGATTGTCGTGAGTTATCGTCAAATTATTACGTTTTTCTAGAGATTTATTAGGGTTCAAGGGCGAAAAATGTCTTCTATGCGGCGCGAAATACATAGAAACCTTTTAAGAGTCTTTTAATAGTATTTTTAGAAGAATTAGGGTTTATTTGAGGTAGCAAAACTATTTAGAAACTTTTCGAAACTCTCAAAACCTGCGAAAATCGTTGGAATTTTGAAATTTATGGTCGAAAATCGGGATTTTTGGCCAAAAAAAAATCGATATTTATGTTTTTCTATTGTTTTTTTGTAAAGTTTTTACGTTTAACGTTTCTATATCCTTTCAGTCAATCCCCGCGTACAAAGCATCAGCAAAGAACGTCCGGTATTCATCGATGATTGGCCATCCACCAAGAGAATCCCCTCCTACGAGAAGCCCCTCTATGATTGTCGGCATTTCGGCATTAATATGGTGGCTACAGACTCGACATCTGGTAATTTTGATAAACTGACTGTCAGCTAACATCTAAATACCTTTAGAACCTTTCCAAGTCTACGATATCCCAGCCGATAGCCCTTCTATTGACCGGAAGTTGATACGACCGCCCCGGAAGTCGTCAATGCCTGGGTTTCATGTCGATAAAGCAGGTTTGCCACATTCCGTCACAAGAATTGTCTGCCATTTTATATAATAAACAAAAAACAACGAAAACCTTTAAAAATCTAGATTTTTTCGACCAAGAATGGTCATTTTTGATCAAAATTTCGATTGTTCCAAGATTTTTAGATAGTTTTTCTAGTTTAAATATAGATATATAGATTAACTGGCTTTCAGTTTATATCATAAACCTAAGAAAAAACTAAAAACCTGGCAATTAGTTGGTGACGATGGTATTGTGAGAATTGATGTCTCGACGAGCCCGATTATCCCCAGCACTACACATTCTACAGGTGAGTAAGAGCTATAGAGACTTACTAAATTCAAGGCTAGCTGACAGTCAGGAGAAAACATTACTTCAATTCCTAAATTGAATAAAATGTCCTCTAACAAATCGATATTTTAGTGTCAACCCTGGTCTCTGTCAACGATTATTCCTCGCTGGAAAGAAATCGAAAAATTCGGGTTCAATCCCCGAGGCCATCACCCACTACTGAACTTGTTGCCGACGTTTGAAGCTTCGAATGCTTCAGACGCTGAAGCTTGACAACGTAAGCCTCAAATCGACGTGAAAAACAACGGAAAATTACGGAATCTCGGCTTTATCACTCTCCATCTTCCTCCAAATCACTCTCGAACTTGTTGTTGATGTTGGAAGCTGGCTTCGCAGGCTTCAGAAGCTCAACTTTCATAAGAAAAGGCTGGAGTAAAGTTGAAAACGGCGCAAAGCTTCTCAATCGCGCTTCTTTTATCCCTCCAAAGCTCCCCAGAAATTCTTGCTGATGTTTGAACCCGGCTCGCAAAGTTACAGAAGCTTAGCCTACATCAGCAAAAACCGAAGCAGACTTCAAAAACCAACAAACGCTTCAAAATCTCGGCTTCCCAAGCCTTTGCATCGATCCTCAAACAACGGCAAAACCTGAAATCTACTTTAAAAACACCGAAAAGCTTCGAAATCTCTGCTAATCCATCCCTCTCCCTCCTCCACCTTGCGGGTATACCTAATTATTCATATTGTGTGCACTTTGATTCGACTCGACACGTTGCTCTCATGTTTATAAAGAAAGATTTATTTTAATCGTTGGATACGGTGTGACAAATTAAAAATGGATAGAAATGAAATGGGGGCGAGGGACTGGGAAATAGGGAGAATAGGGGTATAGGGATAGGGGGCCAACCGGAAATGGCAAAGCACCACCATAAATTGGAAACAATTAAATTACGGGGGGCGGGATAACAATGAAGAGGGGAAATGGGGGGCCGGTAAACGAGCAGAGATCGTTTGCGCACAGAGACAGACAGACAGTACGTGAATGTGTCAGTGTGTGCTGCATCGAAACAATTAATGAGGGATCAGGGGGGTATGGGCTAATATCCCCTTCCCCATCCTCCCTGTCCAGCGGCTTGTTGTCCCCATCCGCCTCCTTGTTGTCCTCCTCCTTGTGGTGCTCCCCATCCGCCTTGTTGTGGTGCTCCTCCGCCCTGTCCTCCTCCGACTCCTCCCTGCGGCTGCTGTCCCCATCCGCCCTGTTGAGGCTGCTGCGGGGCTCCCCATCCGCCCTGCTGAGGCGGTCCACCCCAGCCTCCCTGAAAAATGGTAAATAAAAATTGAATAAAAACCAAAATAAGCATCAAAATGGTACTGGGCCATTAGCGAGGAGATTTTACGCCGTTTTTAAGTATAAAAAAATTACAGAAAATCTTCAAAATTTTGGATCTATTGCAAAAATTTCGTTTTTTTAAATGTTTTGCACCTTTTCGTTTCAAAAACCATCAAAAATTTACAAATTTTTGGATATATATAGCCCCCACCGCTAAAAGAAAAGGAACGCGAATAACCCTACGCTAACGCACCAGTACCGTTCAAATTTTTAACTTTTACACAATTTATACCTGCTGCGGGGCTCCACCCCATCCGCCTCCAGCTCCTCCGCCCTGCTGTGGTCCTCCCCATCCTTGATTGGCCCATGCGTTCTGTGGTCCTCCTCCGTATCCGCCAGCTCCTCCTCCACGGGGTCCACCTCCACGGCCGCCTCGGAATCCGCCGGGTCCTCCTCCACGGGGTCCGCCCGGTCCTCCAAAGCCGCCACGGCCAGTACGGTCGCCACGGAATTGACGGTCACGAGAGCCTTGGTCGAACTGGAAAAGCGGAAATTAGGATTTTTCTACGCAAAAATAAGACAGATTCGATTAGCCGTTCTTGTGCATTATCGGGGGTGAAGTTTTTTACAAGTGTCAATATGCAATTTATTAGTAAAATTTAGCTCAATTTATAGTACAAGGCTTTTTCAAAAACTCACAAAATTGTCCAAAAATTAGAAAATCGTCGTCGAAAAATCGATATTTTGGTATTATTTCGAAAGTTTTTGTTTTTAGAAATAATATAAAACGCTCTTAGAAACGCTTCCTCTATTTTATTTCCAAAATTTGGAGACCAAGGTCAAAAAATCCAAGCGCCACCCCCGATAATGCACAAGTCCTTAAAAATTAGAAATTCAAACGATACCTTGGCCATCTCGTCCTTGCTGAGGCCCTTCTTGACATCACACCTCATGTCCTGGACGGTGTGGCTCTTGAGGAGAACGCATTTGTCCACGGCATCATAGTCGTCAAAGTGGATGAAGGCGAAGCCGCGGATGCTGTCAGTGGCCTTGTCCTTCGCAATGTCGACCTAGAAACAAAAGAAATTAAAAGAATTCAAGAAGTCCTATACCTTTTGAACATTTCCATATTGGGCAAAGTATTCCTTGAGTGCCGCCTCAGTGTGGGCCTCCTTGATACCGCTCACGTACAGGCGCATCGTAGACACCTAGAAAAGTCTGATAAATCCGGTCCTTTAAAAAATCCTTGTTTTCGTATTTTTTGCCAATAAATCCTACGCCTACAATTTAGAACGCTTTCCACGGTTTGTATGCAGTCCTAACGCGTTTTTAGTAAAATTTAGCTATGTTTAAAGCGTCAAAACATCCTAAAAAACTGTATAATTTAAAATTTGGATCGAAAATCGGCAGTTTCTGAGCGAAAAATCGTTGATTGTATTTTTCAAACAAAATATGTAAGTTTTCACGTCCACGAATAGCATTAGGACGTTCAAAATAATACCTGCGAGGCTCCCTTATCGTTGGCGTCCTTCGGAACGGCGCGCTTGGCGTCAACCTTCTTTCCGTCGATCTCGTGCGGGCGGGCAGCCTGGGCGGCGTCAACCTAAAAAGCAAATCATCGCTGGAAATCCCAAAATACCTGAGCCATCGTCGCGAAAGTGACAAAGCCAAAGCCACGGCTGCGTTGCGTGGTCGGGTCCTTCATCACGATACAGTCGGTGATCTAAAAAGATAATACAAACAAAATAGAAAAGCGGATACCTCTCCGAACTGCTCGTAAAAGGTGCGCAGAGAGTCATCGGTGGTGACCGAGGCCAGGCCGCCGATGAAAAGCTTGCGGAAAGCCTCACCCTCCAGCTCGCTGTTGCCATTTCCCTAAAACCAAAATTTTAAAAAGAAAATTAAACGCCAAAAATGGGATAGTAAAGGTTATAAGGATAACGCGACCTTAAATCCTATATCATATACCTTTAAAAGCTCTTCAACTTGTAGAAAAAAACTTTAAAAGTCTAAAAAACGTAGGAAATCTTTAGAAAGTAGAATCTTTATCGAAAAAAACCCAAATCTTTAGATAAAAAAATCTAGATTAATCAACTCACTTCAGCCACCATCTTCAGTTCTCGAAAGCCCTAGTGTTCACACTTAATGGAAGAAGAAGATGGGCTGTCTCTGTCAATCCTTAAGGCTCCGCTTAGACCTTAGGCTTAAGCTCTAGACACGGCTCTTCGATAGAGAGAGAAGCTCTGAGGCTGTTTGTGGATGGAACAAACCCTGAAAACTAAGACTAGAATACGATACTCAATTATTCTCTCCATCGCCTCTCCTCAAGAAAACGAAAACGCAAGAAAACTATAATAATAGTAAATCGAATCGAATTGAAGAACGGGTGAAGCCGGGAGGGAGCCTGGATCTCCTGTGAAATCACTATTCTAGAGGAAAATACCGCCTAAAAATGGAATTGCAATCATCAAATTGATTGGGACAATACGGGGGCATGCAACGACCAAAAAATAGGAGAACCGGGTCAAGGTCAAGGTGGGTTTTGCGAGCCCGACTGGTCAAAGTGGTCAAATATGAGTTTAAACATGTTTAGGTAAGCAATAAGCATGAAAACTGACGGAAAATAAGCTGAAAACCGGTTAAAACATAGAAATATCGATTTACTTGAGCGTTTCAGAGCTAGGATACTGAATTTAGAGTTTTTGAAACCTTTCTAAAGTGATAAGTAGCGAAAAGTGCTCAAAAAAACCCATATAAAGCCTCTAAAAGTTAGCAATATCGACTTTCCATCGATTCTAAAGCCAGGTGCACAAAAGCTTGCGAGGGATTAGGGCTAGGATAGCGAACTTATAGTTTTACAAACGTGTCTAAAGTGTATGCACGTCAAAAGCAAACAAAAAAGGGCTAAAACCTCGTAAAAATGGCAGAATATAGATTTTTGATCAATTCTAAAGTCGCGCTATACAAGAAACATCCCAAAACATTGCTAGGATAACTAACTTATCGCTTTAAATACTTTAGAAAGCGTATCCTCACTAAAAGCCAAGAAAAACAACAAAAAACTGCGAAATATCGATTTATGATCGTTACGAAAGTTCTAGCAAACAAGGGCCCGCAAAAACACACCCAAAACTTGACCGCGGTTCTAGTAAAGGCTAGTTAATAAGAAATATACAAAAAGAACGAGATTAGTGATACCTGAATCGATGATCGGGAAGAGTAGTAAGTGAGTGAGGATAAGGGAAGGGAGGGAAGAAATCGAATGGACGGGGTCGCGCGCCCCTCGGGGAACAGAGACGGAGGGGCAGAGGACAGACAGGCAGACATGCAGAGGAATGTCGCTTCTCTCTCCCGTCCTCCCACTCTCTCACCCCCACTAACCGTCAGAGTCTCCCCTCGTACTCGTTTGTTGGATGAGTGCCAGGGGCGGGGATGCACCGTAGCATTGAGGGCGAGAGATAGGGAGAGGGATAGAGAATTAGAGACCTTGGCCACATTGACCTTTTGATGGTGGGCCCTAGCACGCACCAACGGGGGAAGGGGAGGGGAAGGAGTGGGAGGAACGGGAGGGAAGAAGCCAATAATCTCGCTAGACACGCATGACTAGCCAGGCTAGCATGTCTAGAATAGGATACAGCGTGATTTAACTTCATTTTAAAACTTTTCAGGCGGATCGTAAATTTAGAATGTCACTTTTCAAGGCTTTAAATCTTATAAAAACGGTCAAAAGTCTCTTAGAAGCTTCGAAAAATGGAAAAGGCAATATAATGGGTGGGAAACAGGGAGTTATGCATGGAATGACTAATCGGATGCTGGGAAGAATAACAGAACGCTGCAGATGGCCCACCAGATGGCCGATTCGATGTTTTGTGACCTGGAGCGGGGCGTAAAGGTCAAGGGTTCAGAGCGCGGTCTCTAGAAACGAGATGTTTCGTTGTTTTTAGCATTAATGGAAGACAATTAAGCTGATGCGCGGTTTGTTTCAGCGTTCGATACTTTAATGAGCCGCTATAGGGCTACTTTTTCGAACTTAATCTATCGATTTCCGGTTAGAAAATCCAATCTTTCAGTTTTCGGTTACATTTATCGATACAGAAATCATCACAGCATTCGAGAGAGAATTATGGCCAAGCCAAATCACAGGCAAAAGAAGAAGGAAAAGCTGACGACAGAGGGGCCCGTATTCACATTGTTGCATTGCCTAAAGGGGGAAGGGTAGAGACGAGAGAGCATAGATAGAGAGAGGGCTGAAAGAGCGAGAGATATTGCTATATTATGTATGAGAAACGATAAGCCATGAGACAATGAAATAGAAGAGAAATATTGGGTAGATGACGAGAAGACGCTTCTTCGGCGGCTGCATCTCGGCCAGGAAGCCCATCGCCGCTGAAAAACACGAGCTTTTGAGGTGGAGTAAGCGATGAAACCCAGATCTTGTTCGTTAGCGGGGGTTGTATAGAGTATACCTAGTGTTTTTGGTAGTTTTTCATCAATAAAAAGGCATAAAAACGCTTAAAGGGATGCCGACGGCATAGGCATTCGATTACGCGCGGAAAAGAAAATGTCTCTGCGCCTCTCCTCTGGGCGCGCTCTCTCCCCTGTTGGCTACTTGCCAATTTGTTGATTTGGGGGATCGACACATGCCGTCGGCAGCCCTTTAAAAAATCGAAATTTTGGGCATTTTCATATTTTTGGGCAAAAAATCCAAATTTTCAAGAAATTCATGCTTTTTACGAACTTTGTAAACTTAAAAACGCCGGAAAAAGCTTTCAGATTTGTGTCTTTGGATAGAATTCTGTTTTTACTATTACTAAGCGTACAAAATTTGCAAAAATTCTTAGAAAACCAAAAATCTATAGCTTTTTCAAAAATATTCGATTTTTCGGTCAAAATGACAGATTTTTAAACATTTTTTTGAGCTTTCGAAATTGATTTCCGGTTCAAATCGAGCTAAATTGACTAAAACCATGATTAAAACTATGCTGTGGCCATCTGATTCGTGTGAAAAATATTTTTAGAAAAGGACAAAATTCGACCAGTTTCCATCTCGTAACCAAATAAACCGAACCATAAGTGGCCCAGGAGAAGCCGAGAGCGGTGAGACCGAGACGAAGAAAGAAGAGACGGCCAGAGAGGAGAACCGAGCACAGAAGGGCGGATATTGTAGGGGGAAGCAGACAGTAGCCGATCACGCACAGAGATTGGAAGAACGAACTGCAACGGGTTGTTCGTCTAGCAATATTCAGCCTACATTTCTCCTCCCAACAGTTTGATGTTCAACGTGACGACGATCGAGCCGAAGAACGTCAGGGAGAACACCTGCGTGAATTGCGGGGCCGCGTCACCGCCCTGGCTGTGCAGAAGGCTGCAAAAATAGTCATAAAATTTTATACGATAGTTCTTTCGTGTTTTACCTGGTCCAAACTACGAACTGGCTCTCAGTTATCCTAATTTTGACGAAACTACAAGCTACAGTTAATTATTTTTGTATTTTTTTGAGTGCAAACTACAAGCTGGCACTCACTTAAACCAACTTTGAAGTTATTAAACTACAAACTACACCTATCTTTGTGCTTTCTTGACTTTAAACTAGAAACGGGCTGCCAATGGGCATAATTTTAAACTACAAGCTACGATTTTTCTAGGTTGTCAGAGAAATACTTCATAAAAACAGCCAGTTTAGACGATCTGTACCTTAAAAACGATATATTCCAACTTACAGTGACAAAAAGACGCAAATGAAGAGCGGCCCCCAGAGATCCCATTCCTTGAGAAGCCTCTTCCGATCCGATGACCCAGGGAAGAGCACGTGCTGGAACTTCGCACCCACCGTACGCACGTCACGCCTCTGCAAATTACAGCACTTTAAAGGCATCTTTATACAAAATGTTTTTAGCGTTAAAAACGTACGACAGTATCCCTGATGGGCTCCTCGAGCGTGTCGAAATCCGTGTGCAAATCGACGTCCTGCATCCGAGAGCCGCCCGTTTTGCTACTGGATGACATCGAGGCGATACTGCCTACAATGACATCCCGTTACGGCATGTAAATTTATTTAGGATTGCTAATTTATGTAAATTTATGGAATTGTCTGAATTCTAACTTATATATCCAAATTTTTGCTCAAAAGTGAAAATTTTATCGTTTTTAGAGGTACTTACAGTGTTGAAAATGTCAGACTCTGATCTTCACAACTTTTTGATTTTTTAAAAAAGTGTATATTGGGTAATGTGATCCAGTAACCCCAATTTTCCCTCCAAAATACCTTTAATTTCACAAACTGACTCACCGCTGAGAAAATCCTGTGGTACTTCGCCGGTTGCTCCCATCTAAAAACGTGATATTTCGAGTTTTTCATTAGCTTTTTAATTTCCCAACTTACCTAGCCGATGTGGCCTTGATCCAGCGATAGAACCCCTGTTACCCAGTTGACAATAACCAGAAAAATGTAGTTTTTTTTGACGATTTTTAGCTCATTCCAATTCCATTTAAACTCACAAAATCGATAAAAGTGGCCTGTGGAAAGGCGGAAGAAGCCATTTTGGGGGATGAAGCTGTAGATGATGAAGCTTCTTCTATGATACGGTCCTCCCTCGCTTTCCTCCTGTCAGTCTATGCCACGATATATAGGGGAAGAGAAGGATGGGGTGGGGGTACGGTGGATGGGTCGTCATATAGGAGGTCCTGGAGGACCGTAGTCTGATTTTAGGGCGAAATATGTCTAGTCAATCAGAAAAAAAGCCGGAAGCCGAGGTTTTCAAAGCGGGGCAAGCTAGCAGTGATCATTTGCAAGCAGAACTTGAGTTTGGTAGGGTGGCAGAGATTATTGGGGAGCCACAAAGAGCGAAAAATTCTGCAAGGGAGCCGTGTACAACTAGCAGAGACCGTTTGGGAAGGCCAAAAACCTGATAAATCTCCTATCTGGCACCCAAATGGCAAGCTAACAGTGATTCTTTGAAGAACAAAGCTGCCTTTAGCTAGGTTTTCATTCTCCAAAGGTCTTTGCTAGTCAATTCACCTAGGCAACTAGCAGAGATCCTTTCGGAACGCCTTCCTCCCTTGTCAGCCGGCTATTTCAGTGCATTTCCTGTCAATTGGGGCTTCTGCTTGCCAATATTGAGTCATGGCTTATCTGTCTTGTCCTCTCCCCCTAAATACCCTTGTATCATGGAAAAGCCGAAAGAAGAAAGGACCCGCAAATTCCTGAACATTCCTGAGAACACAAATTCCAACCGGAATCCGCCAGATTTCGAAACGAGCGTGTAATTTTGAGTAATCTGGAGCTTACGCTATTTTTTCCGGTGTGCTACTCTGTGCAAGGGCCTACTGTAGCCTAAGCCCCGCCTCTTTTCATATTATCTATCGGCCCCTCGCCGGAAAGAAGCGGAAAGAAGCGGAAAGGGGAAGAAGATTACTCATTCACCGTCTTTCTCTCTAGTTTCTACCTATTTTCTATTTTCTGGCAGTATTTCGACAATTTCGACAGCTACCGGATCATTTTTCAAATTCTATACAATCTGGTCCAGAGGAATGCTGCCGATTCTTAGGCTGATATTGGTGGTTAGTTGATTTTACTGTGATCTTAGCTAGTTTTATGTATTTGTTTGTAGTTTTTAGCTAATCTGTAGCTATTGCTGTTTGCTTTTACTTCTATTTTTCTAATTTTCCTGTTTTTTCCCCGAAAAAATGTAACTACCGTTTTTCGATTAATTTTAGCTGGTTCTAGAAATTGATAGCGAAACAGAGTGTTCTTTGAGCTACTTTTTAGATGTTGTTTCCTATTTTTAACGGAACGTATCGTAATGTAACGTATTATATCTGTTTATTTTTATTTTTTTTTGCATAGATTTTGGTAATTTTCCGACCATTTTTTTCTAAAAACTTTAATTACCGTTTTCTTTCTAGTTTTGGGGGTTTCTGGCTATCTAAAGTGTTCTGTATCTTTACACTTTTCCCTGACCTCAAAACTTTAATAAAAACCGCGCAGGCAAGATTATCCAGCTAGAATTATCCGGATGTTATGACTCAAAGTCGTTTTTTCTGGGCAAACGGCTTTTGTAGCCGGGTTTCGCGCCTCTAAGAGTGCGTATTTTGCACATTTATATACTTTGCACGATTGATTTAACGCCATCAATACCGCATCAATCCTTTAAAACTTCATATTTTGAAGCAAAAAACCCGTTTGAAAACTTAAACCTAAAAAGCTATTTCAATCGGTGATTTTTGACGATTGGCAACGTGTCACTCGGCCCAAATTCCCTTATAGTTTGTTTATCTAAACGGCTTAAAAATCAGCTAATCACCTATAAGACAAGATAATACAAATGAAACCCGGGGGAGGAGAGGGATAAGCCGGGGGAGGAGGAGACCCCCTGGATTTTCACGCTTTTTGGCCGGAAGAAGATAAGGGGAGGGAAGGAAGCGGAACATTGGTTTTTAGAAGAGGAAAACTATAAACTACAGAAATAAAAGATGTGGATAATTTTAAAGGAACTTGGAGGTCAACGTCTAGCTGAAATTTGTGGTTTTCAGGTCGTATTTTGCAGCAGCTTGACGACGGCTTGGCGACACACACGAGAAAATGGTAAACATTTTTAGCTGAATTCAAAGGAGGAACGATTCCACGCAAGGGCAAGCTAGCAGAGATTCATTGCGGAAAAATCAAGCTAAAACAATGGAAATCGCTAAATAATCAGACGGCAAACTAGCAAATAACATTTGGAAAACAGAACTTTTCACAACAGGGCATGCTAGCGGAGATACCTTGCGCAAAAAAGCCAAAACGGTTAGAAAATGAGCAAAAAGTCAAACGGGGGGCTAGCAAATGCCACTTGAGCAACCAGCTCTTCGATTTCGGCCAGACGAGCACGGATGCTTTGCGTTAAAAAAGACGTTAAAGACGTTAAAAATAGCTAAAACTTAGTGATTTGATGAGGAGCAGGGTAGCAGAGATCAATAGGGAATCCAAAAAATGGACGTTTTCCAATGCCTTTAGAATGCAAATGCCTAAGCCCTGACACAATCACCCGAAAACAAGAAGAACTGTCAAATCGAGTGGAAGGGATGAGGACGGAACTGAAACCGAGGATTGAAGCATTAAGGAGAGGGGCTACAGGTACCCATACCCAATTTATCAGGTTTATTTACATTTTTAGAAGAACTGCACGATATTCTCTCAATCACCAAATACCGTATCCTCCGCCAGATTCGTAAAGTACACGATCCATTGATGGGATGTCCCGATATTCCCGAGAGAATTTCCACATTTTTTGTTCAGATTGAAGATCATCTTTTTCGACCACAGGTAAGTGTTTTGGTATTTTGTAGTTTTTCTAGTTTGCAGTCTGGCCGACAGTTTAGCGGTTAAAAATATCAGCTAACTGTCTGACCGCCTTTAAAATGGAATATTCGAATGAAAGGTCTTTTGCAGGAAGTGATGGATGGATGGCTTCATCATGCCCTGGAAGATCTCGAGACCTCTCTCTTCCCCTCTACCTTTCTCTGTCTCTCTGCTGCTCTATGTCCTCCGAATAGGGAACACCCTTTTGTTAATTGTGTTGCCAAGGTAGGCAATTGCTCATTTTCATTTTCTTTTTTTAGCTACCCAAGGTATGAAAACAATCGAAAAACAACTATTTTTACCATTCTTTCGATCATTTTTCGATACCAAAATGAAAAAGTACGGACTGCTCCTCATTCCGTCCTACTGTAGCTTGAATCGGTAATTTTTGTGCTTTAGCTAGCCCCTCAACTCGCCCACCAACTTTTCCACAGCTCCTCCCATCAACGCGATGTCGTACGGTAGGTGAAAATCGATTTTTTTGGTTCGAGATTTGAAGAGTACGGTAGTTTTCGGTAGTCTGACTGTTAGGTAGGCTACCGTAACCATTTTCTATGGCGGTATAATCTCCATATTTTGGCTTTTCCCGCTTAACTGGGTGGTAATTAGTCTCATGTCGTCATGATCCCTCCCCCCATTTCCGCTAATTCGACTAATTCGATTAACTCACCCCCCCCCCCCCTGGTTGAGATAATTTTTGACACCACTAGATGACAATTTGATATGGCATCTAGCCGGAAGAGTGGCGCCAATATGGGGGGAGGGGCCAGCGAAATTCGAAATCTGCAAAAACACCCGCTTTTTAGAGATTAGAGGGGTCGAAAAAAATTGTGCAAAAACGTAGTTTTTAGAAGATTACTTAGCAAAATACCATTTTCCAAAGTAACCCTTGTAAACTAGTCATTAATGTAACGAATTCGCTCTTTGGGAACCAACATTTCCTCAAGCAGCGCTGGCCGATAGCCCTCTAATAGTGTGGAATTTCTTAAAGAATTACTGGTAGATCCCCCCAAATCGTAATTTGATGAAATAAATAGATTACATAGAGTTCCAGGAAAGCGTGAATTTTGGACTTTCCGGATCTGAAATAACCTCTGCTAGTTCGCCTCCTGTTAAAGGTACTGGAAAGCCAAAGTTTTTCGACTTTTGCCATCCCAAATGATCTCTGCTAGTTAGCGACGAATAAAGGTACTCAAAAGCTAAAATTCACCACTTTCTGTATCCCAAATGATCTCTGCTATTTGACCAGAAGACTCGAAAGTACAAATGTTCAGACTGTCTTCCCTCCTGTCCCGTATCCGCTCCTTCCTCTCCTCAATCGACACATTAATGGAAGAGACAACGAGAAGCCACTCCTCCCTTCCCATTCCCTTTAATTGTACAGCCCCACTGGCCCAGATCACAGATTGTCATCAATGTCATACAATGGGCATGCCATATTGCAGGTCAGTTAGTAAGAATCTCGAATTCAGGGGTAACTGGAAGAGGTTTTTTACGAAAAAGCTCAATTTTCAGATATCCCTGCCTCGCAGCGGCCCGTTCATGTTTCTGGGAATTACTCCCTAAATGGAATGAGCAGATCAAGTTCCTCTTCAATACACAGTTTGAGGCTGAGGATTTTGATGTCGTAAGTGGATCGGATCGGGTTAAGGGACTGGGACAGGTCAATAGCTTCTCGATAACTGGCTGTCGGACTACAAACTACAGTACAAACTGAGTTTCGAGCTCTTTATCGGAAAGATTTATATGGCGTAATTGGTCGTCCGTCGGACTTCTCATTATTGCATTAACTAGCCCAAATTCCACCCAAATCCGTAATTTCATGGTTTTTACCCTGTAACCAGGGTTGAAAAGCCGCTTCGCGACTTTTCAACCCTGGCCCCGTCCGACCCCATTTTATCCTTCACTTTGCATAATTGTCCTGAATTCAGATGGCAACAACTGAAAAATAATCTCTTCTGCCCCTTTATATAGTCGAACCCCCACTTCCGGGCTAAGCTAATCGTTCCTAACAAAGAAGTTTTCACAAAAACTTAAATTTAATGTCGAAAATAGCTGTTTTTGTAAAATCTGATATGTGTGCAGTCATCGCAAGACCATTGCGCACCTAATGACGGATCATACATACCTTAAATTTCATCCCCTATCGAGATATCCTCTGGACAGACAGACGGAAGTGGATGCAAAGTGGCACACACAGACACTATTTTTTATATATAGTAGGATTACGGCATGAAAATCCGTTATTATACCTCTGATTAATGCGCAAATTTCCATATTTGCAGCTAGAAGGCCTTGTGATCGATTGGATGACATATGGCTCAGAAAAGAGTCTCTCAACTGTCGCTTCTTCTGTTGTCAATCTGTGTGGAACAATTGATATTGGATCGAATGGATTGGCATTGACACCCAAACATCATCAATTGGAAGGGATTGGACCGAGGAAGGCTGGCAGTAACACCAAGGCTCTACTTAATAAGGTTAGTGACTAAACTGGTATACTGGCAATACGGGGTACCTGGATTATAATACCGTAAGCCATTAAACCTATTAGTTGACCCTTGAAATGACCCCCCAATGGCTCCTCCACTCGCCAATTAGCCGAAAAAACAATTGGCTGGTTGCATTGGGTGTGATTGGAACGTTCGGGAGGAACACATCCGAACGGCTGTTAGCTCTAGAGATTCGATTGTTGCACTTGTTCTCTCTCTCGCTCTCTCTCCCTCTCTCTCGCTCTGTCTCTCTCTATCGCCTCTTATTTTTCACTGAATGATTTGGTGGTAGAGAAAGCTGGGATCTGAGAGTCTCAATCCTTTCCCAACCGAACACCTGTTTCTCATTTCCGGCTAGATACTCGAAGGGAACGGTCGGCCTGATCTCGGAAAAAATGGGAGTAATAGAATTCCCAAAAGCTCTTTGCCAGCTAGCCTCATTTTCGGGTTTTCAGAGCCAGGAAAATTCCCCAAAAGTTCAAGCTGGCCTGAGTGAGCGCCTCAAAAATCGTCCCAAATGGCCGTTGCTAGCCTGCCTCTAGCTTTGGCTCGGATTCCCAGAGAAATCCTGCTAGATGTCCCTCGTTGACCAAGAAAATCAGCCTAAACAGTCTCGTCTAGCTTGCCAAAAAATAACAGAATTTCTCAAAAAATGTCTGCTAGCTCTCTAGAGGTCTATCTGATGCTCCCTATCTATCGACAATACAAATATCCTAAAGAATCCCTGCTAGCACGCCTAAAATCAAATTTCAGCTGCCCTCCTTGTTCGATCGTTGGTCAACAGAAGAAGCCTCCCTCTGTTCTCTCCATTCTTGTGGTATCTATCCATGTTGGGATGGACAGAAGATTATACAAAGGTATACATTTTGAAGGATCACTAGGTATTTAAAATGGATACCATCAGTCGGAGTAGCTACGCTGTCTTTTTGGAGAATCGTAAATTTCTAGAAATACGGTTTTTGCTTTGAAAAGAGTAATTTCTGCTCTTTGACCCCGCAGATCTGCTATATTTTGTCTCGGCAAAGTCTCGGCAAGACTTCCGAAGCAATACAAAATTCAAAAAAAGGAGCAAGAGAGAGAGTGAGAGAGAACGGAAAAAAGCCGGCGTTTCCCACATAAAAATAGCCGGAGGGCTCGGAGCTATAAAATAGCGGCTTGGCGAGTTGCGTGAAAGTACTGGCGCCATCATTTGAATCAACAAATTGCGAATCTCCCTGGCTAAAATTCAGAAAATACAGTATTTTGGGGCCAGAATCCAAAAAAAGTTAGGAAAACCTGAATTTTTCCAAAGGTCTTCGATACAGTGTAACCGAAATTCTCGTGGGCTTTCTAAATTTTAGATTTTGAAGGATCACTAAAAGGAATTGAAAGATCTAAAATTACTCCTAAAAAGCCACAGTCGAACTTCTCAGGGTTACTTTAGTTTCGGAATTTCGGAAGCTTGAAAATTCACAAAAACTGAGGTACATTTATTTACGATAATTCCACTATTTTCCGAAATAGATCTTGCTCATCGCCTTCGTTTTCTCCATTCTCCAGTAGCCCCATTTTTTGCCTTTTTTGAGCTAAAAAAAGGTAGAGAAAGAGGGCGATAGTGTGTGTGAGAGAGAGTGAGAGAGAGAGAGAGAGATGGCAGCCCGCAAGCCCCTCCCCTTCCTTCCTTCCCCCCCGAGCCGTCCTTTCTGTGTGTAGAAATGACCATTCTGTTCCCTTCCATTCCTATGCACAAACTTTATTGTTACCCATTTTTAATTCTTCTACCATTTGTCTATGTTTTAGAGGCCAATATACAACTGTAAGTTACCTAATAAATACCTAAAATATTTCTAAAACATTTTAAAGCCCGAAATTTGGTTTTAAAAGGATTTTTAGTGTATTTAATGGTGAAAAACCGTTTTAACGGGACGATAACGTCAAACCTATGCATTTTGGGATGCGGCGTACGTTAATTGTCTATTTACAGACCAGAGCAACCCTTGACAAAAGATGTTGGACGGCATCCATCTGCCTCCGCTTCATCTTCAAATTCGGATGGATCACAGAGGAGGCTGATTCCTTTTACGGATCAGGTTCGTATTAGCGAAACTTTCATTTCTATGTCATTCTTTCCCTCCTTCTCTCACTCTCTCACTGGATCTATCTCTCGCTGTCCCGTTTCTCGCGCTTTTAATCTTTCGTATTTCCGAGAAACCTTTTGTCGCTTTCATTAATTTTAATTCACCATTTCCTTAACTGAACCCTTTAAAACCACTCGAAATCTGGCGATATGGGCTTTTTTCTCTTTCCAGTTGGACCCCTCCTTTCCCTCCCTCCGATGTGTTATTTTAGTGATTGACAGCTGAATGATCCCTCTTTTCCACTCGGTTCTCACCCCTGTTTCCCGTTTTCCCAGCAAAAAATTATGATGACTCGGCTCCCCCTTTTCCCGGAATTTCTAGACTGTTTAGAATCGTCCGGGAATTAGCGAAAACATAGGAAAAAGTCTGGATTTATTTTTAAACAAATACGATAATAACAAAATTAGTTGAAATTTTAGCCATTTTCCGGCTGTCCACACCCATTTAAAATCAATATTTTATTGGGGGTTTGGATACTTTGACCGGGAAGCCAGGTGTCGCTTTCTTCCCTCTTTTTCTTCTACCCTCCCTGTCCCAATGTGATTAATGAATGTTACTGGCAAGAAATAGAGTGGAAAAACGCCAGAGTGATGTCTGTCTGTAACCTTATTTCTATCTGTCTCTCTCACTCCGTCTCGATCTCACTCTCTCTATCTCTCTCGCTCTCTATCTCTTTCTATCTCTCTCTATCTCACTCTCTCTCTCGCGTCATCTCGAGCTTCTTCCCCCCTTTGACCCCAAAACGAGGCGCCGAAATTAAAAAAACGCTGGTGGCGTTGCCCGCGGGGAAGCGTCAGGCTTTTCCAAAGGAGAAAAGAGGCCACTCTTTAGACAGATAGAATGGACCCACCGGAATTGCAGCCCAAAAAAGGGAAGGGAGTGGGTGCTGGGATGGACTACCAAAAAGGGGACCACACACTCGATTCTGACGCCCAGGCGGGACCTAGGAGGCGAATTTTGGGAAAACAGGAAATGAGGCTTCTAACCCGAGGAAATTCAGCGATTCCGTTACCCCACGGTACGATACTACGACCTCGTAGAAAGTCGGCTTTTTCCGAGAGGCTACGGCTAGGCGGGTGGTGGAATTACGGAAAAACGTACTAGTTATGGGGCGCAATTCGGAGCTTTCCTCGAAAATTTCGGTATTTCATTAAGATACTATGGACGTATCGTAACTTATCGCATACATTCCATTTTTTGGGGGGTTTTAAAGGACCGGATAAAGAGTACAATCGATTACGCGAGATAAGGATGAGGCATTGCGGATCGGTCACGGCAGAATCCATAAGAAATCCACAGCCAAGAAAACTCATTTTTGTGTCTTGTCCGGTCCTTTAAAAGGAACCAAGCTGTCTGTTCGGCTGTCTGTCTGTCTCTCTGTCAATCTATCAACCAGTGACAAATTGAGTGTTGTTGGAATAGACGAGAGAGAGAGACAGATGATTATGCAAATCTCCATCATCCAGTCAGCTAGTCAGTCCATATTTCTTGTTCTCACAAAAGAACACTCTCCTCTAGCCCGCCCTCCAGAATGGCCATTCCCTATTCCAACAAAGAAGAAGATGGGCCCTCAGGGGATTGATAGATGCCCCTCTACTAAGGCTATCTCTCCCTCTCTCTCTCTCTCTCTCTCTCTCTCTTCTTCTCTCTCTCTCTCTCTCTCTCTCTCTCTCTCTCTCTCTCTCTCTCTCTCTCTGTCCCCTATAAAAGCGATCTCCACCTGGCACCACCATCTTCTAGTATCTACTAGACCGGATAGAAGCGGCGTATAAAATGGGTTTTTCAAGGGGGGATAAAACCCGCCACTTTCCGGGCCAATCGAGTAGAGTAGAGTACAAATCTGAAACGCGGGAAAAGTGACTTCCAGCGCGCAAAATCAAGTGTTCAAAATTCTCGATCTTAAGGCGCCTTTAAACAAACATTTTATCTCCTAAAAATGCCCTTTTCAGTTCAATTTTACAAACCTTTCGATACCCTATTTTTGGGCCTATGAAAGAAGTTCGTGCTCGATATTATACATATAGAACGACTAGCGGCACTCACAATAGCCAAGAAGATTCGCGTCTTCTATTCGCCTATTCAGGTCCGTCGAGCATGAGACTCGATTTCTCGGTTCTTCTTTTTGGCACTTCTTCCCCTCCAAAGCCCAGGAAAACCCCGAAATTCCGTCCGCTGCTTTTGGTGTCCCCCGAGTCCTCTTTCGGTTTCAAAAAAGCCTGGAAGAACCTACGAAACAAAGGGTAGATATGAACTTTCGAAAGAGCTCTCAAATCGCGTTTTTAGCGTTTTTTTTTTGGCTGAAAAAGAACGCCAGATCATCGTTTACACCATGATAATTCTTTCGAGCGTTTTCTGACTAAAACTAAAGCTATAGAATTCATTACGCTATGGAAATAGACCCCTGAGGAATATAAGCTTTCTAAAACTATTTCTTTTTGGAATAATTTTTTGAACGGCTTGAACTCGTTGAACGCTTTGAATTTCAGCTCCATCTATCTAGAGCTAGTTTTTCTAGGAAAAGCGGCAGAATGAAAGTCATACGCCTTTTTTGAGGGGAAGACAAAGCGGGTGGGTAGGGTAGAGCTCCTGAAAAAAAAACGTTTCTCCCGGCGACCCGTAATCCCGAAAGTGACCCCCAGAGACGACGGCTTCAGGGTTTTTTGAACCGCCATTCAATTTATCATCACTCCCCGGAAAACGCCTTGACCTACACCATGCGTTTTTCAGTAAAAATTCAACTGGAAAAGTGCAAATACGCTAAAAAACGTCCTAAAAGGCCAGTGCAAAGCCGAAAAAACCTGAATTTAGCCCGGAAACGTCATTTTTAATTTTTATGTTTTTCTAGGTAGCCGCCGGTCCTCAATTCGAGGGCTCATTCCAGCCATTTCCGGATGACGAAGATCTGGAGGGGAGTGGAGATGTGTTCGAGGAGTTGAAGGACGCTATCACGCCTGGTGGGTCCATTTTTCAGTAGATGCTGTTATACGTTTAAAAAATACGCTTAGTTCTTTGCTAAAAATAGCTATTAATTCCTCAATATCGTTAGTTAAATTTTCGAAGTATTAGTAGACTTTTAAAACCCGTATTTTGCAGCGTTATTCACAAAATTAAATGGTTAAAACGTTCTAGAAATAACCCGGTATCGCTCCATCTAGCGAAAAAGTCAAAATGACGTTCCAGTCCTTCTAAAAGTGTCCATTAACGCCTAAAGAATACCTTTAGCTAGCTGCATAAATACTCGCCGAATTTTGTTACCGGAAACTCTTAATTTTCGGCATAATTTCAGGTCTAAATCCCTGAAAATCCCATCAAAATAGTCCAGTATCGCCCTAATTCCACCCCTCTAAATCTGCACTCGACCCAAAACGAGGCGCTAATCACCTAATGGCCCCCATCAGCCCCCGATAAATAGAGGATGGGCGGAGAATGGGTGTGAAATGCAAAACGGACGATTAGCGAGGAATAGGGGGATAGAGGGGATGGAGGTGACCTTGTTTCCTCCCCTTTTGCACCCACTGACAACCAACCGAACAATCCATCCAATACATCCCAAAACATCGCCCCGGTCCGAAGGGGGGATTGAATAGAATGGCTAGGGTATCCACGGCCCGATGGATACCTGCCAAAGAAAAAGCGCGGCGGGGAGGTAAAACTTGACCGCCAAAAGAACGCGAAACACCAATTGGTTGAAGCCAAGGTCAGAAATGTTGAAAAGGCGAAGGAAAGGCGTACCTGGCTGGATTCTGGTAGATCTAGGCTTTACAAGCTTAAAATCAGGCTAAAAATCCTTCTTCTTGTAATTAGAAAATGAACACAACGTCTCCAGAAACCTGCAAAACGGGTTAATAATTGAAGCCAGGGCTAAAAATGTCGAAAAAGAGGGCTAAAAGCCTTAATTGGATAGATTTACAGTGTTGCTAGCTGAAAGAAAGTTTAAGAATCCGAGATCTGAACTTTTTTTGCACCTAAACATGAGTGCAGTTCCTTCTAAATAGCAAAAATATAACCCAAAATGCATCTTAGCTTATTTAAATGTTTAACTAAATCGATTTCCGGCTTGCCTAGGCTTCGAAAAGTTAAAAAAGGGACCAAATAAACGATTTTGACTTAAAAAATAATCCAGCTAACGCAGAAAGCTCGGAAAACGATCGAATAAACGGGAAAACAGCGCGAAATATGCGAAAAATTAACGGTTTCTGGCATAAAATCCCTAAAAACTACAAATAACCCAAAATTCAATAAATACCAATTATTCTATCACTTTACCAGGCACCCAACTGACCTATCCACCATCGGCAGAGCGAACAAATCAGGGAAAAGCCGCTAATCCGCCCGCGAAAGTGCCGGAAGCCCCGAAAGCAAGCCCTCCGCGTCACTTCCCATCAATTCTTCTGGTTTCTTCTCTTGTTGTATTGCTGATATTCCCCTAAATCTGTAGTCAAAACCATGAAATTCTCTCGTCACCGTCGTGTTGCCATTATCCGGTCGCTTGTCACTGCAAAACATTCTTCCAAATACGGGTTTAGCCTTTCTAAACGTTTCTAAAAATAGTTTTACAAGTTTTACCTTGTTTTTTCCGACTTTTAAAACTCTGTTTAAGCTCGAAAATCTTTATTCTGCTCGGGTCCCAGCCTTCGCGCAAAAAATCAACATTTTTTTGTTATTATTTAGCGTTTTTATCTATTTATGCCACCACTAAACTTGATTCGCCGCCAATATATTAGTGCACAAAAAAAGAATAAAAAAAACAATCGTTACAGGCAAAAAAAAACACGGAAAATGCCAGTACAAAGCTCACAACATAGACAAGAAAATGAGGAAATCACAAACTGAGAAAAAGATAGGGATAAGACAGATTCGAATTATAATCACAGAAATGGCACACAGGGAATGGAATAAAATTATAAATTACAGTTGGGAAATACAGAAATACATAAATGTACAGACAACACAGACAAACAGGGGCCGAGATTCGCTTCAGATTTCCGATTATTGGCCGCCGCCCATCGCTCGCAACTGCTCGATGAAACTGAAAAAAGGGTTTGAACTTTTCTTCTTTTTGAACACTTTTTCTATAAATCCGAAAATGAAGTTATCAATGGTCAAAGTTAATAGTTTTTCGCCTAATTACTAAATTTCCAGCCGAAAGATTACCTGAGAATTTAGACAATTTTAGTTTCGAGAAATTCGTCGAAAAATCGGTGGTTTTTTGCATTTTTTTAAGGTTAGAGATAGAAAAACATTTAGAAGCATTTCGGCTTCTATTAATTAAATTTTCAGCAACTGAAATTAGCAAAAACTTTAGAAACCAGAAATCGGGTCCTATGGGGAAAATTTTACTCCACCCCCCACCCTCGATAATGCACAAGCACCATCGTTCCCAAAGAATCTCTGCTAGCTATCCGCTTTCAAATTCTAAATTAAAGCTTTTCCTTACCCCTTTGTGTTGAGCATGTGCGTCGTGGCCAGCAGTATCGCCGGTCCACCAGATTGTAGCCGTCGCTCGTTAGCAGCTCGAACATGGAATAACTAAAAAAATAAGTTTATTCATTAAAATCCTATAAAAGTTTGTACCTCTTGATACGTGGCCCCGCCCACCATAAAGATGATGATGTTGTCGACACGGGGCCTGAAAAATTAAATTAAAAATTGACCAAATTAAGTTTATTTATTTGTATTTTTACAAAATCTTAAAGCTCGACACTCGATTTTTAGTAAAAACGTACACAAATTCGGATGAGGCATGCTTAGGGTAGAGCTGCTCGTTGACCTTTCCCCTCGAAATGGCGTCAATTGTCTGTAGAAGGAATGGGGTATGCTGCGTGTACACATTCTCCACTCCTTTTAGACCCTTGATAAATCTGAAATCAGGGTAATAACGCGAAATATGCATGAAAATTACCGTTTTGTCATCTCGACGGCAGATTGGCCACCGAACAGCTCGTTTTTCCTCCGCGTCGCCCCGCCGAAGCGAAGAAGCGAGCGCACCAGGGATGAAGCCGCCGGTTCTAAAAAATATTTGTTAAAAACATAATTCAACCGTTCTTTTGCATTATCGGGGGGGGGGGCAGACCTAATTTTTAGGTAATTTTCACCAAAAATATCTTGCCACGGAATAGTAATTGTTTAATAGCATTTTTAGCAAAGTTAACTTTGCTTCAAGTGAAAAATTATCTGAAAAAACTTCGAAAAATTCAAATTGGTCGAAAAATCGATACTTTAAATTTGTAAATATTAAGTTTAAAAATTAGCAACTTTTCAGCTAAAAAGCATCTCAAAAATCTCGAAATTTTTCGCCGAAAAATAGCAATTTATGTCCCTTAAAGGATAATAATTATAAAGTTTTTAGGCTTAAGAATTTTTAAAAAAATTGAATATTAATTTAACAAAGAACCTCTTTGCTTCAAAATGTTGATCAACCCGTTGATATCGTTGCTCTGGTTGCTCTCAAAACGAAGCGCGTAGAGGAGCACGAGCCGGGTGGCGTTCTAAAAGAAAAGTAAACTTATAAAAATCTCATAACTTACTAAATTTGAGATTTTTCTATTATTTAGAAGGACGCGTATCCGATCCAAGCATTGACTGTGGTCCCCATCAACGACAATGGATTGTTCCAGCTGAAAAATAAGAAAATACTATAGAATAAAATAAATTTTAATCATTTAAATCAAATAATTAATTAATCTAGCAAAATCTCAACCTCAGAAACTTCTAGCAGACTCTCCGTGCCAACCAAACGACTCAATTCCCCCACAACGGACACGTGCTTCGAGACGGTACCTGGAAAAGGTGCATTTAACAAAATATGATTTATTTCCCTCACCAGACATTTTCTTAAATTGTGGATACTCGTCGACAAAGCTCTTCATATCGGCGATCGACTCGACGTTCTTGTGGATTTGCGTCTAAATTGATTTTCATTTTTACAACTAAAAACTGTCACCTTTGATTGAAACTGCTCCATCAGCGTCTTGATATTCTGCCCGATTTCGCCGAAATTTGCCGAGACGTTCTAAAAACAAAAGCTTCACTCCGCGGCAAAAATAAATACCTTTTCATAAAAATCGTCCTGCAACTCGGACAACACCAAATTTTGCCCGTCAATCGTCACACGATTATTCTGAATCCCGAGCAGCTCGTGCACCTGAAAATAAGGGCTTTATTTTCAACGGTATATAAGTCACCATAGCTTCATAGGTCCACTGATTGAGAAGCGGAGTGGCACAATCCTCAGATCGATCGACAATCAACAGCATCGTATCCTCCTTGCAATTCCGATACAGCCCATCCTCACGGCGCATCGTTTGTGCCACCTCGCCGGCCAATCGTTCACAGTCTTCATTTGTTCGTTGGTAACTAAAATCAGATAAAAAGTTCGTGAAAGCCATAGAAAAACGCACCAGACGGTCGGCTTCTTCTTCAGCGCCAACGTCAACGCGATAATTGTCTGTTTGATGTGGAGGAGGGAAGTAGTTGACAAGCGAAAGGAGGCATCGTACGGATTGCGCATTCCGATCGAGAGCAAGTGTTTCGACAGCGGGATTCCGTCGCAGAAATACTCGTGCACCTCGCGTACCTGAAAAAAAAGTTAGATTTTCCTTTTTTGCTACTTTGAAGCTAAATATTTCACTGAAAAACCGTCCACTTCTTCTTCATCCGCTTCTGCCAACTGCTTGATATCACTTTTGTTGGCAATGTTCGAGAAGACTAAATAAAAACTTGGTTTAATTAAGTTATTTAGCCTTACAAATGAAATACTGTGCGTATTTTGGGGTTCTCAACTCCTGGCACAACAGCGTGATGTTCTCCTGGGTCGGCCGGACGAATACGATGCACTAAAGCCTATTTTTTACGGATAATTCAAAAATGATACCTTTAAATGCTTGATCTGCTCGCGGGGCACCGGGGAATCGAGCTTCTCGAACAGGTACACCTCCTTGTGCATCATTTCCGATTGGGCAAACGCGCACGAGACGATGCCCGTCTGAAAATCACGGCAATTTCTTGATTTTTATCCTAAAATCAAGGAAAATCGTTAAAACTGACCGTTTCCTTGTCCATGAGCAGCACCTTCATTTGAGGGCCGGCCTGGGCCACCATCTCGCCGATGTACAGCCTGACCGTGGCCAGGATGTCCATTTTGCTTGAAAGATAAAGCTTATTAAACTCCGCTAGGCCATTAATCAAAAAAAGCTTCATGTGTTGAGAAATTGATTGGATACCACCGTCAATCCAAAAGAAACGTCAAGGACAAGTTTTTATAATCGAAAATTCTTTATTTCAACTTTGAAGACAGCGCAAACAAATCAACAAACAGTATGCAGCAATAACAACATCAACAACAGAACAAACAACAATTCGCAAGCTAAAAAGAGTTCAAAACGGCTTCAAACTAAAGAATCATTTGACTTAAACGCAACGAAAGATTGGATAAAGTAATGAGCACGGTCTCCTCGACACGTTCGCTTCTCGATCCGCTCCCAAAGGGCAGTGGATTGACGAGCTGGTCGAAGAATTGTTCAGCGGGCACCGACACCGTCTCATCCCCCTCCAACGCGGCTTCAACCCCTTGAACACCTCCGAAAATGACGAGGATCCTTTTTCGGGTCATCAGATTGATCTCGACATCATTCATTGATCCTCCATTCGGTGTCATCCCCAACACAACATCATACTTCTTCCGGTCCATCACTTCTCCCAATGTCTTCGCAATTCGGACAGAATATCCCCAATAAAGAGACGTCGCGTCACGGGCTTGTTTTGCATTGGCTAGGCGACCCTTGTAGAGACGACGATCTTCTCCTGTTTCTGTCAATTCGACAGTGATCCGAGTGGCCGGGGGGAATGGCGTGGAATTCTCGAGGAAGAGCTCTTTGTCCAATCCCACATCGACATATACGCCTCGTCCCTTCTTGCACGGTTTGTCGAGTACAACCCCTTCTCGATACGGCACTGTGAAGTCTGTGGCTTTGAGATGGTGCGCTGAATCGAGCGGATGTAGAAGACCGACAGATCGAAGGGCCTTGTGGAACGGGAAAAGCGGTTTCCGGATGTATTGAGGGCATTCCAGGTATTCGAGGATTTTGGCGAGATGAAAGTTGCCCTCAATGTTCCGCTCGGACGGCTTGAGATCGCCCTGCCATTTGCCCGACCAGTAGGCGTCCACTTCTTCCTGTTTCATACGGCCCGTCTCGTCGTAGACGATGATCTCCTCGAGTCGATAGATTGTCGCCGCCCGTGCTACCTAAAAACCGACATTTTTTAGTTGCAAATAGTCAAAAAGTCATATTTTTAGCTTTTTAAAAACCCTCACCTGGACAGCCATATACGCGCGAAGTTCATCACATTGGGCAAGGTTCAAGAACGATCCAGGGATGGCGATGGAGAGGGAGAATGGCGTGGTCCCTGCCGGCTTCTCATCAGCAAAGGCCTCTTCCTCCTCTTTATGTTGTGTTCGTTCTTCTCGGGCAACCTTGGAGGCTTCGAACTGTTTCACCAGTTTCTGCTCCCGTTGCTCTTTCAAGGTCTCCTTCTTTTTGCGCCACGTCAGATCGTTGAACGATACTTTGTCCTTTTTCTTTTTGTGGACACGACCATGGGATATCCGCTGCTCCATCTGTCTGCAAATAAACTATTAAACAAATCAATTTTTAAAATTTAGGTTCTTTCGCATTATCGGGGGAGCAACTTTTTCTCTGGATCCAAAGTTTCAAATATAAATAGCGGGGGTGCTACTAAACTGTTGTTACTATCTCTAAACTTTACAGATATAGCAAAATAAAGCTTTTTCGATCAAAACTAGCCGATTTTTCGCCAAATTTCGACATTAAAATCTTTTTGAAATCATGTTTTAACAACTTTTTTTATAGAAAGCTTTTTCGCCCCAATCCATGGGTTTCTCATCTTCCGTGCACGCTTTTCCGAATCAACTAAGATTTATTAAAATTGAAAGACACATAGAACACATTCAAAAACTCGGATATATTCGGGGGCAACCATCATCTGAAAGCAGGAATAAATAACACCACAGAGAGAATGAATACCTTTTTTGGCTGATAAATCGGAACCGATCGCTATATTAATCATCACAACACTAGGAAAAGGGGAAGCTGTCAAAAGGATGGGCGAAAAACCAGAAACAAGGATCCGTAGAGATGAAGCCTGGCTGGCAATGGAAAAGAGATTATTCCGGATTTGTAGAGAGAGACAAGAATAAAAGAGGAATGAGACGATAGAGAGAGAAACAACAACAGCTCTATATCCGAATGAAGGGAAAGGAGCACTCGCAATCGATCGATAAAACAACATTGAGCATTCCAGAGTTATAAAAAGCTATCTATCCTTCTAGCGAATCTTCATCTGCTTCATCTTTGGCTGCTTCGACTTGCGGTCGTGCTTGGCCTCCATCTTCTCGAGTCTTCTCTGCTTATCCGGGTCCTCCTCCTCCAGAATTCGCTGCTTCCTCTCGCGGGTCCGCTCTTCTCGACGGGCTTGAGCGGCTTCTTGGCGTTGAATGTGGGTGGTCTTCATGAACGCCTCCTCAACGGCCTGGCGGTTCTTCTCCGTCTTCAGTTTCGCTTCACGTGAGAGGCGGAATCTAAAAGAAGTGGTAAAAACTTCAAGAGAAATTATTTTTCTCACCGGCGAACCTTGTCGACAATGTAGAAGATCATGTTGAGAATCTCGGTCTCCTCCTGGCGGAGCTCATCCCCGCCATCCTGCAGCTCGACGGTGATGATGACGACTCGAGACACTTCCGGCAGTCGGGTGTACGTCTCCCCATCCGGCAGCTTCGCGCCGCAATATTGATCCGAGGCGTGGATTGAGTGTATCTTCGACTCGTACTTGCGCAACAGGGTCAGCAGGCCAGGGTCCAGGATGCCTAGAAATAAATTGAAATTCTGCGGTTCTTTTGTATTTTCGGGGGCGTCCTTTTTTCCTAATATAAAAAGTGTAAGTGTCTCTAAACTGTCAAAACTTTACAAATTTTGTTAAAAACGCCCAAAAAATCCTATTTTTTTTCGACAAAAAACGGCCGATTTTTATCATAAATTTTGGCGTTTCAAAATTTCTAGTCTAAAGATTATTAGCTAATTTGACTAAAAACACAAAAATGCGTCCTATTAGGTTACTAGACACTTATTGACTTATAAAAATTCAACCCCCCCCCCCCCCCCGATAAAGCCACAGATCCGAAATTTTCGAATTAAATCTCAAGCTTACCCATGGCAGCCTCGTTGAGTTCGGTGAAAATGCCCCAGGAAGCGGGCAATCCTTGCATCGATCCCGGCTTCTTCTCGAGTGCGTAGGTGGACAGATCGGCCAATTCCTTGTGCTGCTTGGCGACGATCTTCCGTTGTCCGACGGCCAGCACCCACGGGTCCACTTCTTGCGCGTCCAGGTCAAAACTAGAAATAGAGCGTTAAAAATTAACTTTTTAAGGATACCGGAAGGTGATTCTATCCTTTTGCGGGGTGATGATGCCCATGACACGGCTGACGAGATCCTGCCGCTTCACCGTGCGCATCTGGATCTGCAGTGAGGTGACGCCGACACGGCCCGAGCACCAGATCGAGAACGAGTAGTCGGTCTCCTGAAAAATAACGATAAACACTTAGTTTTCAAGCTAGAAGAGAAATCTTTGTGCTTATCTCATGCAGAATTTTTGCGCCGATTAAGACAGGCTTGATAAAATCTACAAAACAAACAGATTAAAAAAGTTGTAGATTTTTGCAGTCCGAAAACAGATCCAAACTAGCCGATTTAAGGATTTTTTTCGCATTTTAAAACTTGAAAAGCTTTTAAAAGGCCGTTTGCGAGAGACCCGAACAAGGCTTGGCACAGTTTTTTTGGACCCCCATTTTTTGATGCCATCTGATAGAGCGTGGTCGAATTAGAGGAATCGCACTAATTTGGGATTTTTAAATTAGCATTTTCCTAGTTAAACAAGGCGTTAAAGTTGCCAACGTCCAAAATTTATCTCGACGACTACTTGACAGAATTTGCTGAAACTTTGTGACTAGGCCTAATTTGGGATGGGGATCATTTTTCTAATACATCGCGAAGCACGAAAATTAGCAGAACCTAGTTAAATTGCATACCCAAAACAGTTTTTGCCAAATTTCAAATTAACGGCGAGTCGGCCGCAAGCTGGAATTAGGCTAGAAAGATGCGCAAAATTTTTCTGCATCGATTGATGTATTATTTAGGTGGCGGCCAGGTCGCCGTTTTCTCACAGCGAGCTTTTTGTAGCTGAAAAATGGCCTGAAAATCTGACTAAAATCAAAAATTTTGCGTTTTTCTTTCCGGACCCGTAGTCATATTTAACGATCAAGATCACGCCAAGCCGAACGCAAAAATTAGCAAAAAGAAATTCGACATTTGAAAGGGTGCTTGTTTTGTGGCGCGGGGATTCGAACCCGGACCCTCCGCCTGGCAGCCCTGTGGCGCAGTGAGTAGAGCGTCCGCGTGCCAATCCAGAGCCGCTGCCAGTTCAATCCCGCTCCCTCTCAGAAGCCGAATTTCTTTTTTGCTCTTTTTGCAATCGACTTGGCATGATTTCTTGATGCGTTTTGACTACTCCGATATGTAAATACCGCAAGATTTTCCATTTTAGTCAGATTTTCAGACCATTTTTCAGTTATAAAAAGCTTGCTGTGAGAAAACGGCGACCTGGCCGCCACCTAAATAATACATCAATCGATGCAGAAAAATTTTGCGCATCTTTCTAGCCTAATTCCAGCTTGCGGCCGACTCGCCGTTAATTTGAAATTTGGCAAAAACTGTTCTGGGTATGCAATTTAACCAGGTTCTGCTAATTTTCGTGCTTCGCGATGTATTAGAAAAATGATCCCCATCCCAAATTAGGCCTAGTCACAAAGTTTCAGCCAATTCTGTCAAGTAGTCGTCGAGATAAATTTTGGACGTTGGCAACTTTAACGCCTTGTTTAACTAGGAAAATGCTAATTTAAAAATCCCAAATTAGTGCGATTCCTCTAATTCGACCACGCTCTATCAGATGGCATCAAAAAATGGGGGTCCAAAAAAACTGTGCCAAGCTATAATGGGGACTGTTCGAGTGACTCGCGGACGGCCTTTTAAACCCGGTTGTTTCGCAGGATTGAACAACGTAAAATTCGGCATAAAATCGGCGAATTGGTGCTCAAAAATACCTTGGTAATATTTCCATCAGACGGCTCCTCAGTCAATCCATCATCCCCCACAACCGAGAACTGCTGCTCGAGAGCATCGCGATGAGCGGAGAACCAAGTGTAAGCGAGTCCCTGATTGACGCCCCTTCCATAGACGTAGTTGAGCATGTAGAGCACGAGGATCACGATCACAGCAGCTTCTACCTAAAGAGAAAAAGATGAATCAAACGCCGATTCATTACCTGGTACGAGGCCCAATTCGACCGGAAGTGAGCGGGCACATCCGAGAAGCGGAGCGGTTCTTGGGCCTTTGGCGCGATAGAGTCGGGCTCCTCAAAGGTTTCTTGCTCATCGTTGATTCCATAGTCCTCCTCGTCGTTGTCAAACTCGTTGGCTAGCGGTTTCTTCTCCTGTGCTGGAGGCGAGGGGGCGGCCTTGTTTTGTTGTTGTGGTGGTGGAGGGGATGGTGGCGTGTAGTGGATCGTCTAAAAAAAGAGTTTAGTTAAAAGAAAAAAATGGCAACCTCATCAGCGTCTTCAAACTCGGCGAATTCGTTGTCATCCTCGCCGGGCGGGCCACTTTGGCTGCCGGCAAATAGGAATGCCAGCAGGAAGATGAGGTGTACGGCTCGCATGAGGTACCCTGCAAATTTGACGGTTAAAAAGACAAGGGTTGAGGATAAAAATAAGAAGAACGTTAGCATTCATAAATCGACACAAGAGGAGCATAACAGGCGCAGAATAGCGATTTTATCGTCAAATTAAATATCGAAAATGGGCAGAAAGTTCTAATTAAACCCCATAAAGCCCTTTAAAAGTTCTATAACTTGTAGTTGCTTGACTAGCTGATGAAAATACGAAGATGGAGGAGTCCTAAACCGGAAATTCCACATGAAAAAAAACGGTGATTTCTAATCCAACTTCTTAATGAATCTATAACGAAAAGCGCATCCAAAAATCTTTGCAGCAACTTCTAAATCAAGTATCATACCGAAAAATGCGCAGTAATCTCTGATCGATCCGTTTAATAGATTCTATAATCCTCGGCTGCCTGAATAAACTTTGCTTTGAAAGTTATAAGGAGAAGAATGAGCATCAACGCTCTCAAGAGCATCAGAAAACGCCAGTATTAATAACTTCCCGATAGAAAATAAAGCGTTTAAAAGGACGCGGCAATTTCTAATCTACTTTGAACCCAATGCAGCCCATTATATAACCTCGGGCTGCCTAAACATATTTTACTGCCAGCGGTCGTTTTGCTGATGCGAAACGGGGCGTTGGTCGAGAGAATATGGCCATACTCTGGTGCCTATTGGAGAGACAACAAAGTACACGCGTCGCTCGGGGAACACTACGGTCCAGAAGGAGAAAGGAGAAAGAGAGAGCGGACGGGAGGGTTTTTGACCCTCTGACGTAAGTGTGTGCCGGGGCGCGCTTTAGCAGTGAGGGGGTTCCGGACGCGCCACATTACGCATGGACGTAAGGTGTATAGAACGGAATACTTTCTTCTGAATTTATTTTTACAAAGTGGATATATAAAGTAAAAAAAGTATGCAGAAGGCTTTTTAATAAATGAAAGAACCTATTTATGGTAAATCTGGAACAGTTAATCGTCAGTATCATGCTTTTCGGAATTTTGGGAATATATACCAGTATTTTTGTTGATTGGTTCACTTCTGCCCGATATTAATTGTAGGCTCTCGTCTGAAATACTTTTTTTAAATCAGAAGCTACCGCGATACAAAGAAGCAGGGGCGCAGGAACTTTCGCAAAGTAGGCTGTGAATGGCTAATGAAAGCTAATGAGATAACGCCAACGAAGAATCATACAAAGCCACACACGTGAAGAATTGCGAAAACTTTAACTCTTTCGAAGCAGCCTAAAAATCTTACATGGTAGCGGGTCCAGGAGTGGCTCGAGATTATGTTGACTTCTGTCAAGCCACGCGAGCTTTTGCCGTGGGCTCTTTTATGCTTCATTTTAAGTTTAGAGATTTCAAGTTCTTTTCCTTCCACACACTAATACTATGACGAACATTAACACCAAGCTAAAGTAAATGATTCTCCTCAGTAAAAACCTATGAGGTGACAATCATCAGTTCCCAACTCGCGAAAACACTGTCTTCTGGTTAGTAAAAAGCTTTCTACATGCTTCTTTTACTATTACATGTATCTTCTCTTTGTTAGATGTAAGAAATTAAAGTAGAATAAATCAAATTAAAAAGGTATTCCGTTCTGTACACCTTACGGCCATGCGTAATGTGGCGCGCCCGGAACTCTGTCACTGCTAAAGCGCGCCCCGGCACACACTTACGTCAGAGGGTCAAAAACCCTCCCGTAGAGAGCGGCCAGAGCCCAGACCAATCATAATACCCAGTACCCGCACGTTTCATAGACGGCTGCGTCGTTTTCCTATAAAAATTGACCCTAAAAACGATTTCCCTAAGGTTATAACGACGAAAATATAATTTTAGTACTTTTTAAACCAAATTCTACCTCTCGATAGCCAAACTACTAAATAAACCTTCTATAAACACACGAGAACGCGTTTTCTTGTTAAAAATTAAGCCTAAAAACGATCTCTCTAACGATATAATGACCAAAATATCACCATAGTACTTTTCAAACCAAATTCCGCCTCTCCAATCGCTAGTTATAGCAATTAAACCGTTTATTAACACGTGAAGATCCAGAAAACCCGTCAAAACAGCAGAAAAACTTGAGAAACCGTCAAGATACAAAATCACAATCTTCACAAAAAGCACAGAATGAATAAATGAGAAAACGAGATCTAGAACAATTTCCAGTCGAGTGATTGTGGGTGCTTCTCGTGGGCTCGCCACATTGCCAGCGCAGAGGCGTCTCTGAAAATATCATAAAGAGAAGAAATTTAGCTTTACCTCGCTTCCACATCCCCGGCATCCGAAAAGATGCGTGTCGCGTGGAAGAGGGCGTCCTAGAAAGTAAAAACGTGTAAAAATCGAAAATATCCAATTTACCTTTGCCCAGGCAAAAATGCCAGCTTTCGACGACACCTCCAGGAAAAGGCCGAGCCATTTGAGCGCTTCTTGGCTGTCTAGAAATAAAAAATTAATAATTTTAATCGTTTTAAAATCTAAAAAACAGTCCAAAAACCGACCCCCTTTCTTCAAATGCAATTCCGCTACCGTAGCGCAGTACAGGGCCCTTTCGATGCCCCTTCTTCCTCCCAAATCATCCGAATCATCCCGCAATAGCTGGGCGGCCTCGTCGAATTTATTCTGCTCTATCTGGAATCGCAAAAATTTCTTTTATCTTCAAAAAGTACGCACCATTACTCTGGCCAAATGGCGAGTTGTCAGCCACATCAACGGCTTCGCCTGTGAGACACGGGCAAGTCTAAAAAAACGATTAAAACGTGTAAAATCTAATTTTTCGTACCGTACAGCCTTGACAAGCGACGCCTCGGCTTCCGTGAGATTCCTATTGACGGTGTGCAGATTTCCGAGCACCGAAAGTAAACTAAAAAACGAAAAAATACCAAAAATTTGCCTAAAAACATACCGTATCCTTTCCAGCGTGTGCACATCGCCGGCTATTTTGGGGCGATAGGCGTTGAGGAGTTGGATGGCCTCGGAGAGCTGGCCGGTGCAGGCGTGATGAAGGGCCAACCTGGAGAAATCCTCTTAATTTTTATTTCGCAACCAATCAATAAATATAACGTATTTTTAATGTTTTTAGTAGTTTCTGAGTGCTAAAAGGCTACAAAAAAAACTTTTAAACGTCTTTGAAAATTAGGAAATGTTGATTTTTTTGGTCATTTTTCATCATTTTTCAGCGAAAAGTCAAAGATTCTCGAAATTGTCATAATTTTTTCATCTAAAAACTGTAAAATACTATTCTATTAAATCCTTAAAAAATTGGAATTTGAAAGCTATTTTAGCTATTTCAAAGGAAAAATCTTACCGTATCACATGCTCAAAGGGGCAATACGGCTCGATGAGCGGCAATTGCTCGGCAGCCCCTTCCAGATCACAGCCGAACAGTCGAGAGTCGAACTTGATCAGCGCCTTCGCCAGCTTCAAGTGCCCTTTTATCTAAATTTAACTTTTTTTATAAAGTGACCAATCTACCGTACCCTATCACTGGCCCTTGGTCCAAATTGTGCGATTGCCCGGTCGACGAGTTGAAGGGCCTGTCCCCATTGACAGTCCAGTGCCAGCGCATACATCGTGTTCACGTTGAAAATTGCCTAAAAATCGCGAATTTTCGAAATTTCTTTGAAAACTTACATGAGCCTCGGTTTCGTGATATTTCGCGTATCGGTCCCCATTATTCGTCCCGTTCCAGCATTTCGCCATTTGGAACGTCTAAATGATTTATTAACTTTTTGGAAGGCTTATTCTTATTTTTTTTAATTTAAATTGATTTTTTTTTGGGTCTTTCTGATGGAGGAACACCTTTTTCTTACATTGAATTTTTCAAATATAAATTGAGGCGGAGTTTCTAACGTATTTTTTGACTATTCCTAAGGGTAAAAACTTCACACATTTTGTTAAAAATATGAAATTTACCTGATCGAGATGTCCGTGCAAGAGTAGGGCAGAAGACTTGATAGCATCGGCGACGTCGAGGTACGCTTTCTGCTCGCCCGTAGGATCATTTCCACGCATCCAGGCCGAAGTGGAGAACATTGGCGTCACGTTACTAAAAATTAAAAATCAGATCGCCACAATTTGACATACCAATAAGTCGGTTTCCCACTCGAAATCTGGCGAATCGTATCCAGAAGTGTGTCGATAAATTCGACGCACTGGGCCTAGAAATAAATTTGTTTGTTTAAAAAACAAAACCACCTGTGAAATATGCTGAATGGGACAGAAATAGGCGCTCTGCTTGGCCGGATCCTCTGCTTCTTCAATGTAGGCGGTCAGATTCTTGGTGGTGACATCGGCGCCAGGTGGGATGGGCATTCCCTCTTCTTTCTTTTCTCTCAGCACCATCCATTGTCTCTCTTCAACCGCGCTCCCATCATAGACATCATCGGATTCTTGGAAAAACTGAAAAACTAGGACCTTTAGGAGCTTTGGCATCGTCGGGGGGGATTTTTCGGATAAGCCCGGAAATTCCTAGAAACGTAACAAAGGCATTTCTATAGCGTTTTTGGTAAATTTAGATATACTTCACGCCGAAAAAACCCCCGAAAAATAGAAAAATCTGGTCGAAAAATCGTAAATTTTTACATTTTAATCAAAATTTTATAAGAATTTTGCTTTTAGGAATCGTGAAAACGGCATAAGAAGACGCCCCCGATAATGCCAAAGCTCCAAAAATCTATAAAAAGTATATAAAAATTGTACCCAAATATCCTCCTGGCTCGGGTAGTCGTCGTGTTGATCGGGAATATACTTGGCCGTCGGGTCGGTTCTTTCATTTTGATATTCCAGAATCTAAAATTATTAAATGTTTAGTTTAATACACCTTTTATACCTTCTTCTCCGCCACAGCCATCCGGAGAGTGTGATTGTCCTTACAGCCATGCGACAGCATTACCGTCTCGTCCAACATTGTCCTCGCCATCGCACTAAAATAATCATTTTTAAAAAATTTAGATTTTTTCTTACAAATTGTTGAAATGACGGGCGAGTCGAGAGCGTACGAGTGTCCCAACGGAATCCGCGCTAAAATTTTAGTGTAATTACGACAAGGAAAATTACTAATTGAGCCAGTGCGTAATCTGTATTCGCCGTCCGCGAGCCATCAAATCATTGTATCGCACTTTCGAGTAGTCAACGTAGGCACACAGCGCATCTTCCGCATTTCGAGCGCGTAGCCGACGCGTTTCAACAACCGAGATCAGAAGGTGCTAAAAACGAAGGTTTTGTGATTCTTTCGCATTAATGGGGAGACGAATTTTCGCCCTAATCCTAGAAGTGCCTATCAAAGTAACAACAAGCATTTTATCAGCGTTTCTCGTAAAATTTAACCTTAATTTAACAATAAAAACTATCTAAAAAATTTAAAGTCGACATTTTGGCAAAAATCAGGCATTTTTCAATCAAATCTCGAGCGTTTTTACATTTAGGAATAGTAAAAACGGTTTAGAGGAATCGAAACCCAAGAAAAAAAAGCTGGTCCCCCCACCGATAATGCAAAAGAACCCTGATTTATGTCAATTTATTACCACAGCGGCCATTATGGGATAGAGCTGCTTCGTCCGTTCGCAAATGGCCATAATTTCCTCGTCCGTTTCTTGCACTCGACTCGGGCAACGCTAAAAAACCTCCAAAATCTTGTATTTTCAAGCTTTCGGTACCTGCAGCCAATGAAGTCGACTCAACACCCATTTCTCGGCCTGTTTGTACGAGTTGGAGACGTGAGGGTAGAGACTCGGCCTAACAAGGAAAAATACGTTGAATTTCTAGCGTAAAATACTTGTATTGCCACTCGCCGGCCAAATATTTCAGTTGCCTCTCGAATTGGCCGTACACCTCGTAGTCGGTCAGCATTGTCGTCGCCAGACTGAACTGGAAAACCATTTTCTGAGTTTAAAACGATGAAAATTACTTTTTTCAAAAACACAGCCACCAAAGAATTGCCGTTGATGATCGAATTCTTGATGTCGATGCCCAATTCTTCGATGAGAGTGATGTGCTCGCGAAGATCGCCCATTTGAACTTGTGAAATCCTAAAAAAGGTATAAAAACAACTTTTTTGGCATACACTTTGTCAAAATCTCGCAACACGGCCTCGCCAATCTGCCCGGCAACTCGTCGAAGATCTTGATATGTCAACGGGCGGTAGGAGATTAATTGGTAGAACAGCTTGCCAAGCTAAAAACAGTGGTTTTTCATGAATGTCTAATTCGACAATACCTCGCACAGCAAAAGCGGGGCCGGATGTTGATTTTCATGGTCGACAAAGCTCTCCAGCACGCGAATCAGGTAGATTAGCGCGAACTAAAAATGACAGATGAATCTTTCAAGCATTCTTCAAATTACCTGTGGATCTTGTATCGGGTCGATGGCGGCCATGATGTATGGATACGCATAAAGGGCATCGGTCGGGTTGAAACCCGCCGGCTGCTCCGACATTACCTGAAAAAACACGTAGGTAGTTAGGAATAATTTACTTGTAAAAGATAAGTAAAACAAAAGGGAAAGAAAGCTTTTTGGGATGGGTGGTTTCGAATGGGCGGCCCGACAGCGCCTACAGACTACAGTTTTGAGCGAGAAGCTGCGAGCAGGAGCCACTACCGGAAGTTCTAAAGAAAAAAATGCAGTACAGACGAAACATTTAGGCTACAGATGGCCGTAAAGATGACCAGGCTGAGGTCCAACATAGGTCTATGCGCTCCCGAAATCTACCGGGCCTTAAAATGATCTTAAAAGGCCAAAAACGTTCTTTCAGCCAAACCAAAATTGAAAATAGCGCGGGGGATATGGCTGAGATTCCAATTTTCTCAGAAATAGCGGCACTAACAGCAAATCGCCTTGGAAAATCAAGTTTGAACGCTCCAAAGCTTCTCGATGAGCCTCTAAATCGAAAATCAGCACCTAGATTTGTCAATACAAGCTCTAAAAATGGCTTGCGCTGATTCTAAATGGATTTTCAACATTTTCTAGCGGCTCTTGCATCTTTTCCTACAATTTCAAACGCCTTTTTCGGGCCCCAGACTGCGGGCAGAGTATGGCCCCGGTGGGCCCTATTGATCGCGTGAGAACTGGAGAGTGTCTCCATACACCCCCTGACGCTATATTCATCAACCACAATTAGCTGCTTGATCCGCTTTTTGACTGGATTTCGAGCGAGGCCTGGCTGATGAATGGCATTCCAAGCACCTCGTATCCATGGTCACAATGAACTGGATTATCAGGAACTTCTAAAACAGGTGCGCTAGATCGAAACAGGAAAGTTGGTTCTTTCGCATTAGCGGGGGGGGAGCTAATTTTATCCTATTAGTCCAGAAATACACAGCAACATCATACTAAGTATTTTCATAGTTTTTAGTAAATTCAACGATAGTTTTAGAACGAAAACTATCGAAAAATTTCAAAAAATTCGGACATCTTTCGTCAAAAAACCCAAAACCTTTGTACTTTCCTAGATTTCTATTTCAAAAATTAATTCTAGGGGAAGAATTTGGCGCTAATCGATAATTCTAAAGCTCAGGGAAGTTATATGTCCCATTTTCTAGGTACAAACCCTTCAAGGAAAACTCTCCGCTAAAACCGACGCTCTATTGAGGCTTGGTAAAGATGTAGAAGAAGCACAAGCCGCTCGGGATTCTTGGAAAGCTCGAGCAGAGACCTATGAACGGAATCTCGAGCGATCTGAGCAACAATTGCTGCACGTCACCAACGTAATGCTGCGAAAAATGATAGCCTAACTGCTTTAGAAACTGAAACACACGACAATGAAAGAGCTAGAGTCTTCAAAAGCGAGAATACAAGCCCTAGAAGCGGAGAATGGACAGTTAAAGAGGCTAGTTGACGATTTGAAGGCTGAAATTCGAGGTGAGTCTAATAAAACCAGAACGAAAACGACTTTCCAGACCTTCAAAAAAGACTGTAAAACCTTTCGGCAACAACTAGCCAGGGCCGAGGTCGAGCGGGTAGAGGAAAATGCTGGGATTGTAAAACTAGAAGCATCTCCGGCGGCCAGGGTATGAAAATACAGAGGGTTTTTCTGAACAAAAACTCCCTAGAATTCCGTGAGGCTTAGCTCAGAGCAGACAAGTGATGGGGAAACGATCGGAAGACAGGAAAAGCTAGTTTCGGAGGTAGTTAGAGAAAAAAAAGAAAAGAAAGAAATTTATGGCTTTAGAACCGACAGCTAGAAGCGGATATGGCGTCAGTGCTTAGCACAAAGGAAGAGCTCGTGCTAGAGAGGGATGCACTCGTGAAAAAGGTGGAGAGATTGAGTCAAGAATTGACATATCTACTCAATGGGGATCCGAAACGGGTAAGTAACGGTTGTATGATACAACTTGTATCGAATTTGTAATCCGGCAAATTGCCAAGCAAATAACGAAATCCACAGAACCCCGGTTTAGGTAGTCGAAGATCTCGACAGTTTAATGGCCGAGAATCGATACCTAAAGGCACAACTCGACTCGGCACAAGAAGAACGGCAAACGATCAAGGAGAACCTTGAAAAGTATAAGAGTGTGGCTGAACATGTGGCGGCGAGAAGACAAGCCGAGCTCGGATCGACTTCTAAGGATGAGGGGGAGAAGCCAACGGTTGCTGTTGTCAATATGAAGCAGAGTGGGTTTGAAAAATACCTTCAAATTCTAGGACAATTACATTGGAACCATCTATGTTCTCCAAAATTTGAAGTGCTCACCAAATTCTTAGTGTAATCTTTCATCCACGATCAAACGGAAAACGATTATAAAGTAAAAACTACTAATGTACGGATAAAATTAGGCCGAAAATGATGAAAGACCTTTAGTTCGTGAGCTGCTCTCGTCCCATTCGATTGATATATATGAATGGTTTATTCAACCGGGTAATATAACGCAGGCGAAAAATGATAAAATTTTGCAACGTAAAGTGGAAAAAAAAAAATGGGTGAAAGACGAGGGACGGGGATAATATGGTTCTTGCTTAGGAGTGATTGTGGGCTAGGGGAAGGGTTTCAAGACTTTTCCTAAAGCGTTTCGCGCTGGTCGGAGGGTTTAAGAGGAGAGGTGGCGGAAGTGAATTCCATAGTTTTGCGATGCGGCGTGAAAACATAGACCTAGGGGTATCTCCTACGCTGTTAAATCTAGTGAGCTGAAATCTGTGGGAACTCCTAGAAGGTCGGGTGGCAAGTTTAAGGAATTTGAGTGGATAGCTCTGCTGGAAAATTATTCGATAGCACAGGACGAGGTCATTTTGGTTTCGGCGTGTTTCGAGGGTGGGGATTTCAAAAAATGCTAGCCTCTCTTCATATGGAATTACGGGACACCCTGGGCAAAGTTTAGAGTAGGCATGAAAGGTAAATCTTTTCTGGACATTTTCGATCTTCTGAATCAGATATTTGCGGGATGGAGACCAAACTTCACTCGCATATTCCAGAATCGGTCTACATAGTGTGCAAAAAGCGCGGATATAAGTAGTTTTATTGGGTACCTGAATCTTTTTGATGATTAAGTACGAAATTCGCGCCGCTCTTGCGCAGATTTCAGTGATATGCGGCTTGAAAGAGAGCTTATTTGTGTATCTAACACCGAGATCCTTGATGATATCGACCGTTTCGATTGGGCTATTTGCGAGAAGTAAGGGAGGTGGGGGATTTAGGGAAGTTAAGCAAAAGGTCTTATTAACGGCGAGCGACATCCCATTTTCCGAGGCCCATTTTTCTATGATAGAGATGTCGGACTGGATAGAGGTGTGGGGACTGGGACCTGAGCGCGGCCCAATACCTGCATAGATTTTGAGATCGTCAGCGAATAAGAGATTTTTGTTTACTAGAAGGGGTGGGAGATCATTTATGAAAATCAAAAAAAGTATGGGCCCTAAGACACTACCCTGCGGGACCCCCGACGTTTGAGGGCGTGGCTTAGAAACTGAGTCTCCGTTCTGTACATGAAAAGTCCGACCGGTGAGATAGGCTTTCAACCACGAGTATATGGGAACAGGCAGGCCCGTTTGGGCGACTTTATCTAGGAGAATGTGATGGGGGACTTTATCAAAAGCTTTTGCTAGATCGAAATAGATGCTTACTGGTTTTTCTCCGGAATCTAAGATGTTGGCAAAGTCATGGAACATTTTGATGAGCTGCGCGGTGGTAGAGTGAGAGGCTCTGAATCCAAACTGGGCCGGGGAAAAGAACTGTTGAGCATCTAGAAAAGAAATTATTTTGTGTTTCAGCGCAACTTCAATAACTTTGCAAATCGATGATGTGAGGGCTATTGGGCGATAGTTTTGGGCCTGAGTTTCGTCGCCGGACTTAAAAAGGGGTACTATTCGAGAAAGTTTCCAGTGAGCGGGGATATCACCTTTTAGTAAGGTGATGTTAAAAAGCCTAGTCAGAACGGGGGCGAGTATCACCGAACATTTCTTGAGGAAAAGAGTGGGAATGTTTTCGGGCGTCCAGTGGGTTTTTGGATTCATGGAAGCTAGGGCCTTGTCAATATCGTTAGGGGTGAACAAAAAAGGGGGCGAGGGGTCTGGATGATGGGAAGGGGCACGTTGCCCTCGAGCGGGCTGAAAAACCTGCGAGAAATAGGCTGCAAATTCCTCTGAGACCTCCGCCTCGTCTGTGATTTTGGGAGAATTTGGATTTTTGAGAAGGGAGATGGGATTTGGCTTACTCTTAGATTTTATGTGGGCGAAAAAGAGGCGGGGATTACCAGAGGCAAATATGCGTTTTTCCGCGTTTCTCAAGAATTTCTGGCAGTTTACTTTATGCCGTTTGGAATGGGCCAGATACTCATCAAAGCTACCGGACATCTCAATAAATCTAAACCAAGCATCATCTTTCTTCCTAAGAGAGCGCTGAATGTGGGGCGGGATTTTAGGTAAGGTGCCTTTGAGCCTACGGGGGACGGTGTCATTGATTATTCTCGCGAATTCCAGGCAAAATCTGTCATAGGTCACTTGGATAGGATCAGCGAGGGAAAGAAATGACCAGTCGGTAATAAATAACTCGGATTGGGCCTTAGCATAATCTGCAGAGTGAAAATCGGGGGCGAGAGTTTGACTAGAGCTAGGTATGACATTTTGGGCGAAAAGGGTTGCTACTGTTGCTATATGATCGCACTGGTTGAAAGCGGGAGCGGGCTTACAATCGATGTTTAGGTCAGGGCTAGCGACAAAAAGATCCAAAATTTTGCCCGTACGGGGAAAAGTCGGGAAGGTGGTCAGCAGTTTTAGATTTTGCTCGAAGAGTAGATCGCGTAAAAGATCGGCTATGCCCGCCGAGAAGGAGGGACCCGGGAAGATAGGCAGGTTGAAATCACCTAGTAAAATCAGCGAATTTGCTAAAAGAAATGGTTCTAGATTAGCAAAAAGAGATTCCGTTTGAGAGTAAGACGTTTGGGGAGGTCTATAAACGTTAACGAATCGGTACGGCAATGAGGAGAGAAATATGTCTAGAATCAGAACTTCACAGCCTTCGAATTCGCCTATGAAGATCACCTTAACAGGGTGGTGGGTCTTAACAAACGTGATTACGCCACCTCCCGACCTGTCTTTTCGGTCAGCGCGAAAAACTTTGTAATGACTAGAATCACAGAGCAGTGAATCAACTACAATTGGTGAGAGCCAAGACTCTTGATAGCAAACAACGTCATAAACGAAAGAGGTGAGAAGGATCGCGTGCTCGGGGAGCTTATTTTTTAGGCTACGGACATTTGCAGAAAAAATTCTAAAGTTTACAGGTTGTTTGTCAACAGGCAAATGATAGGCGAAAAATAGAAGGGTCGCCCGGGCTATTTGGGATTTTTGCTAGGGGAGTGGGTTCAGACCGATCGGCGTTTATAGTTGCCGATTGTACTTCATTGGAGGAGCCGGCCGATGGATTCGCGGTTGAGGTTGGAGACGAGGTAGTGCTAGTCGCGGGCTTCATCTTTTTCGAATCGCTAAGTTTCGAGAAGGCGGAATTGTTTCTCACTCTAGCCGACGGCGAAAGAGATTGTCCTTTTCTCTTATTTTTGGTCGTGTCCAGGTCCATTGTCTGAGCCCGTTCAGTGGGTTTCCTGACTCTCTGAGGCCTGGTCCTCGTGGCACTCTTTACGGGGGCGACGGCGGGCTCAAGGTTGGGGCGAGTGTCGGTGAGCGGCTCGGTGACACCAGGATCAACTTCCATGCGATCTTGTTGTGTGTCGGGTAGAGGCACGGGGTCGGGAGCGTGTGTCGGATCCGGGAGTGACGATTTTAGATGGAAGGCGGAACGGGTCGGGTCCGAATTTCGGAAAATCGTACGTTGAGCGAAGGGCGGGAGTCCGTTCCGATTTTGGCGGCGTGACGCAGCGATCAGGTTTACACGCATGTGTTGGGATGCGACGATGATTTTAACGGGCCGCGGCTTGTAGGAAGAATAGGTGCCCATCCTATAGGACCACACGATGCGAGTGTCAAGTCCAAAGAACGCGAGGATGTGGTTGATCATCTCTCGATCCAATCCACGGCGTACGTCCGGGGTAACTAGCGGGTCTGGGCGGACTTCCGGTAGGCCTTCTAATACAAGTTGATAATCAGGATTGTTACATTTGGCATCATTTGGGTCCTCGGTCCAAGTTGGTGGTGGGCGCGGAGGGAGGGGGAGTGGATGAAATTCGTGAGGAGGGCTTGGGCGGCTCTTCGGGTATCCGCGAGCGACCTGGGCGTAGGTGGGCTGGCCGGTTGTTGGATCACGGTTGGACATCGGGTTGAGTACCTCAAACTTGGGTAATTAATTTGGATGAGAGTGACTATCGGGCCCTTTCAAATGTGCTTCTCGACCTCTGCAACGACAAGCAAATGGCCCTCGCCCATCAGAGAAGGGCCAACAAGTCAGATATACCAAATTCCTCAGAGACGGCCAACTTTAGAATTCTTGGAAATCGGCTCTACGAAGTGGAACAGCGCCTGCAGGGTCTCGAGGCGGGCAAATCCCCGCGCAGCGTCAGCCCCCGACTGGATGTGATACAAAAGTGATGCAAGAAAACGATATCAACTAAATTTATTAAACCACAGCACATTAATTCTTTTACAAGTATAAATTGTCACATTACACATATATAAAACACTCGTATTTTGGGGGCGGGGTTGGTGGTAGAAGAACTGAAAGGCAACGGGAAGAAGGCACACGTCGAATCCGGGCTACAAAAATAGGATGAAAATGAAATATCTTTTGGCAAAAGGTTGGACTAGACACTCAAAAACATATATTTCCTTGTGGAATAATTATTTCTTCTTTCGGAAAAGGTCCAGATCATCATCCGAGTCATCGAAAAGCGACTTTTTCGGGGCGGTGGAAGTGGTTTTTGGGGCGGGAGGGCGAGAAGTAGCTGAAAAATTTGGTTTATTTTGTGTTAACGAGAGCGTGTTGGCTTTAATACATACTTACTATAGCTTAAAACTTACTAGAAGTAGAGCTCGGCCCAGCCGGGGGTTTCGTATTATCTTTTGTGACCGTGGTGGTGATAACAGACGCCTTTTTCGGGGCCGTTTTCGTGGTTGAGGCGGCTTTTCCTCGGAAGAGATCATCATCCGAGCTTTCCGAGTCGAAGAGCGATTTCTTTTTTGGTTGGGTTGGCTCCTGAATGGTGTTTTATGGGTTAAAGTACGTTTTTTAAAGCAAAGCTACTTTTTAACCTACTTTCGTATCCTGGGATTTGACCGTTTGCGACGTGATGGAAATACGACTTCCGGTCGACCCTTTTCGAACGATCGGAGGACTGAAATATGATTTGTCACTAGAAATTTTGTGGATATTTTATAGTTTATAATGTTCTACCTGTTCTGTACAGCAGTAACACTCTTCTTATCCTCATCACCCCCATGTAGCGAGCTGCGCGAAGAACTGGTCGAGCTCTTCCTCCCGGAAGTTGATCCTCCTTCAGATATCCTGGTGTTCGACAGTTTCCTCTCGATCACCACCTCATCCGATTTGATTGGGCTACTAAAACAAATGTATGAAAATGTTCTAAAAAGTAAAAAACCTGGGTAAAACCATTGATTTCGTGGCTCGAATCTGGATAGGTGAGGGATTACGACGGAAGATCGGTGCCGATTCCTCTTTCTGATCGGTTGAGGAAGCTCTGGATGAGGTGACAGAGATGGGGCGAGAGCTAGAATACAGTATACAATTTCATGGCGCAATCTATCTTACCTATTGCTGTCCTGTGACTGTCGATTTCGTGTAGTAGGAGGTCTCCTAGGTGGTCCCTTCGGTCTCCCCTTTGCCATTGAGGAGAGCAGGGATGGTTTCTCATCAAATAGTCTCGATTCTGGAGATCGTGGTGGTTGTTCAGAGGCTGCGCGACGGAGAGGGCCAGCTGATGAGGATGAGGCTGGGGAGGAGGTGGAGGAGGATGGGGCTCCGGGAGGGCGAGGGCCCTAAAAAGGTAATTTTCGGATCGTTGATTGTGACTTACCCCAGGTGGCATAGCCAGCGCTGCACTGAGCTTCGAGGCAAAAGCCGAATTGTTCAGCTTCCCTCGTGCACCACTCATCTCTTCTGTATCGTCAAGTGTTGTGTTGTTTGGTAGTGGCTGGTCTTCTTTTTCGTCTTTTTCAGCAGGGAATTCGAGCTGCTTTTCTTCGTCTAAAAACGTCATTAAATCGAGACTACGGTAATTATACGATACCTTTCCGACTCAATCGATCGATATCAAAAGGCGGTGGAGAATATAGAAGATGATCTGACGGGATCGGAAGTGGGAAATCAGGCTCCTCAGCGGCAGACGCAAAAGATGGAGGCCCAAATGGAAGCTCTTCTCTTTCTTCAGGCTCAAATCGGAAAGGAGGCGGAGCTTCGAGAGCTTCTTCTTCTCGGTTTCCCAAAAATGGTGGTGGGACTTCAAGCTCCGCTTCTACCGGTTTAGCTACGGTAGCAGGAGGGGATCTAGACTTCGGGAAAGGAGGCGGGGCTTCGGGTTCTGGCTCAAAAACGGGTGGAGCTGGAGGTTTTTCTGGTTTTTCTTCAAAAGAAGGTGGTGCTACAGTCCTTTCTACGGTATCTAGCGGTACTGTAAAAAGGGGAGGAGCTTCGGGTTCCGGCTCAAAAATGGGCGGGACCTCCGATTCAGGCTCAAAAGCGGGCGGAGTCAGAGGTTCTTCTAATTTTTCTTCGATGGGAGATGGAGCTACGGTGGATTCTTCGGATTTTTCGGGTAATGCAGGCTTTTGTTCTATAGGTTCAGGGATTGATTCTTCAGGTTCAAAGGGTGGAGGTGAAGCTTTAAAGGTATCTTGCACCTCAGGAATTACGGTAGTTCCCGGTTCAGATTTTTGAGGGTGTTCAGAGGTGTATTCCGGACTTGATTCAACTTTCGGCTCAACGGCTTTACCCTCTGTTTCAGCTGCACTAGCTTCCGAAACCGGATCAGGATTTACTTCCGGTTTTCCTTGATTTTCAACAGTATCGCTGGATACTGTGGACTTGTGTGGACTCTTTGGACTGTCTGCTGTCTCTTCCTTCTCTCCTTTCCTCGCTATTTCCGGGCTAATAATATCCTTAATTAATTCCCGATCGGCCTCTTCGTTTTCTTTCAAAAGTGCCCGTATCGAATCCTTCAATTCTTCAACCGTTTGCTCCTTCTTTTCCTCGACTTTCACTGGTGATACTGTAGGTTGTACGATGGATTGTTGCGTAGTTTCCGGGGCAGTTTTTTCTAGTTCTTGTTTCGGAGGTTCCTCTTTCTTCGGCTCAGGTTTTGTTGGCTTCTTAAAGAGATATATTATTCTGAAGATAATTCAAGATACCTTAAAAAGTTCGGAATCGCTGTCCGAGTCGTCGAAGAGAGACTTTTTATGGGTGATTTGAGCTGGAGTTGATTTCTTCTCAGGCCTCTCACTCGTCCCAATATACGCTTTGACAGGAAGGAGACGACCCTGAAAATGTTTGTTTTTAAAGGGACAGTGAAGACAAAAATTCGCACTTTTTAGGTTACATACTACAAATTACATACCCCAGAGGCCGTCGATTGTTCAGGCTCGTTCTTCGGCTGTTCCGTCTGTTGTTTTGGAGGAGGATGAGTGACCGGGCGCCTCTGAAATGGATTGTACTGATCGATACGATACTGCAAAACGACTGAGAAATTTTCGCTGAAGCTCTTGCGCAAAAATCGATATCTCGGAGCCGGAGGGTGTTTTGAAATAGAGCCTCGAGGAGGGCAATAGAGAGAAAGAGAGAGAGAAAGAGCGAGAGAGAGAGAGAGAGAGAGAGAGAGAGAGAAAGAGAGAGCAATAGAGAGGGAGAAACCAAGAATTCATGGCCATATGCTGATAGTTTATGCTTGGTAGATGTTCATGTTGGGGCGAAAGGTTAGGCCATCTGGACAACCAGTTTTTGCAAGCATTTCAGGGGCAGACTAGCAGTGCTAAATAAGGAATTGCCGAATTACTCTTCCCTCTAAAGGAGGCATAATAACCCAGGGAAAACCCTTAATATAAGTTGTATTGTATTACGCAATGAAAAAAGCGAGATTGGGATTGGGATAGCGAGATATTATTTGGGAAAAGCTGAATTTTTGCTACATTAGGCGTTGAAAAAACACAAGAGCTAGGATGCCAGCCGAGCAAAAGGACCCTTCGATCATGTCGATCTCCGGAGAAATGGCACTGAAAAGTGAGCAAAACGTGTAGAGTGAGCAGAAGAAGAGAGAATGGAGTGGGAATGGCCAGTTGAGAATAAATATGGACCGAGTGGACTGGCTAGGAATGGCTGTAGAACTGACTCATTGTATTCTATGTCTCCCCCTTATATGCACACATCATCATATTTTTTCTGATCCATTTTTCGCTATTTTTCCAATTGCCCGAGGCTGGAAAACAAAGAAAAATGTGGGTTTTTTATGAATTTCTAATACGATTGACGCATCGACCGTCTTTCCAATATGATAAATAAAGAAAAAATGGTTAAAAATTATCGAGGGGAATATGGAAAATGGGCATATTATTCGCATTGGAGAAACGTCATTTTAAAGGGACTGACATGGCTTGAAACCATGGATTTTTATTGGCTAACCATTGCCACAAAAGATCTTGACACGATCTGACATGCAACGCGAGCTTATCGCATTGTAATTGCGTAATCGATTACGATACGCTAATAACTGCCGCGTCGCGTCCACGTTGCGTTTCGCAGGCTCGGAAAATCCATAAAAACTTATTAATAAAGGCTTATCTTACTTTGATTTCCCCTTAAAACGGACAGTAAAGGCACAATATCGTCAAATGCATAGCCTATTTGCCTTCAATGTTCCTTTAAAATCTCAAAACCCCTAAAATCCCCGGTGAAAAGGGGATTTTGATTGACGTCAATAGGAACGAAAAGGAACAGGTGAGGGGAATTCCAGGACTATTCGACGGTAAATCGGGCAATTTGAGGAGAGAGAGAGAGAGAGAGAGAGAGAGAGAGAGAGAGAGAGAGAGAGAGAGGGAGAAGGAGAAAACAAAAAGTTTAAGTGGCAGAAGAGGGGGATATTTGTGTGGATTGAGAAGATGCGGGGGAGGAGGAGGAAGAGGAGTTGGTGGAGAATTTACACAACGAGAGACAGAAAAAAGGGATCGAGGTATGCTGGGGGGAAGGGGTAACTATGCCCTCACAAACCAGTCAATTACCTCTTCTATAACCACACATTAAGGCTCCCGCAAATTCTCAAAGGGTTGCTAGTTAGCCTTAAACCTAGAGCACCGAAAAACCACAGAAAATGCTCGTTTTGTCTAGTTTTTCATCTCAAAATCTCTGCTAGTTACCCGTGAATTTGTATATTTAATTCATGCTTCAAAAGCATAAAAATTTCGGAGAAGAGCAAGAATTGAGGTCAAATAGTATGGGGGTTAGAGTGGCGAAAGGGGGGGGGGGGAAGGGCCTTACAACCTGATGCCACTGGAAGGGAAGGCTCTTCCCTTTGGAAAAGAGAGCGTGAGAGAGACAGAGAGAGAGAGAGAGAGAGACACTCAAGTGACACCCATACAAATACCCACCCAGAAAGCCCACTATCATTTACCACCTCTATTCTTTTCACCTTTTTCTCGGTTAACAAGTCTCAAGTGGATCTTTTGGCAAAAAATCAACTATAATAATTTTCTTGACGCGTCCGTCCGTTCGTCTGTCTGTCGTGTCCCGGATTCAACTCGAAGGGGAAAGGAGCTAGAGCTTAGCTCTCTCTGCGGATTCGGATAGAGCGTGGTCAGAAACCCCCAAACTGATAAAAAAATTATGAAAAACTTTTAGTTTAAATTATTAAAATCAACTTTGAAAGTTTTTCCTTAGTAAAAGGGGTAGGGGCCCCTCTCCCCCTTTCCCTTCGCCCCTCTTCCCCAGGGCCCTTCCCGGCGCCCAAATAGCTTTCTAAGTTACTTTAATAGTTTTTAATACTTTTTAATACTTTTTAATTATGTTAATTAGGAATTATGTTAGTCGGGAAGGTATTTAGGTAGTTTTTGAAGGGGATTTCAGCCATGGGGGGTATCTGAAGCCATCGGGAAGGTATTTAGTATACTTCTCCGCCCACCCTGGGTGGGCCAGGGGGGACAGAGGGGGGACTGAAAGGGGGGATGGTAGGGGAGCCCGGGGACCCACCCCCAATGACCGTGCCCCATACCCCCCTGAGGCATGAAGGTATGGCATCTACGAGTTCCATTCGCTATACCGAATTTTCGCTATGCCGAATTTCGCTATGCCGAATTTTTGGTATACCGAATTTTCACCATGCCGATTTTCACGATACCGAATTTTCCATTTTTTTCCAAAAACGCAGGCCCCCGGGGCCCCCGGGGCCCCACCATCCCCCTTTCAGTCCCCCCTCTGTCTCCCCTAGGGGGGGCCCACCCAGGGTGGGCGGAGAAGTATAGTATTTAGGTAGTGTTTGAAGGGGATTTCAGCCATGGGGGGTATTGATGGAGGTGGGAAAGGATGTGGTGGAGTGGGACGGCCCGAAGGCCAAATGGTTGCAGTCGCGAAGCGACTGTAACCATCTGGTATGGGTAAATAGAACAAAAAACATTTACTTTGAAGGGGTTTAAAAGTTACATCATTGATACCTGAATTTTCAGCCATTTAAAAAAATTAAGCTAAAACTGTCAAAATTACCTTGATGGCGGCAAAAAGATCGTCATCCGAATCCGAATCGAAGAGCCCTTTTGTTGTCTTTTTCTGGCTCGTTAATGGCTGAGGCTGAGGTTTTGGAGCCTCAGCTCGTGCTCCAGAAGTTTCAGCTTGAGATTCAATCCTGAAAATACGAGCCTCAGGTTGATATTTTTGTCAAGAGATGACAATACCCAAATTAGTGTTTTTTGACGATATATGACTTCCAATTCCATTGAAACGTACCAATTTTCCTGCCTTACAGCCGGTACATCAGCAACAGGTTCAACCGCCCGTTCAGTGACTATTTTCTGTGCACTCTTCTGCGGAGGTGGTGCTCGCTGCGAGATTTTGCGTGCCTGAAACCCTCCCTGAACGTGAGGCTCCAACTTACCGCAGCTGAGAAAAGGTCATCGTCCGAATCGTCAGAATCGAAGAGGGATTTCTTGGCCGGCTGGGAGATTGACTAAAAAAAAGGATAATGTGTAATAGGGAATCGGTGGCTTAAGAAGTTTTAGATATCACAAAATCTCGTAAAAATATGAAACGTACCCTTGAAATCGCCTTGGAACTCGAGCTCTCCGTAGCTTTCTGTATTGCCGGCATTTTTCTAACGGCTTCTTCTTTCTTTGGAGCTTCAACTTGGACGATGGGTCTTGGTTTCTCAGAAGTCACAGCCCCTTGAGGCTCAATTTGTTTGGGTTCAGTGGGTGGCTTCTGGATAGGAGCGGGTTTTTCCTCTGGTTTTTCAGCTTTCACTGGCTCCGATCTACAACCAATTACAGTGCAAAATTGTGTAGATTTCAGCTTACCGTACTACAGGTGGCTCTTCAAACAGTTTCGGGGCTGGTTGAGGTTGTCGTACGGCCGGAGTGGAAGCGTCAGTAGGCTTATTGCGCAGGCTTGAGGTGGCACTAAAAAAATTGGAAACGGTAATATATAAGGAATTTTTAATTGCATAGAAGGTCCTTTAAAACCAATAGAAATAAATATAAAACGAACCTGAGTACATCAGCCAATGACGGAGCAAAGATATTTTTCGGCTTTTCCGGTTGAGAGGGCTAAAAACATTTTTTGTGGGTTAACTTGATTTTTTTGGATACTGTAGTGATTTTTCTATTTTTAGGCGGGATACCTTATTCTGGTGTAGTTCGTCCGGTTCGGCCTCTTCCTCCAGAAACCCGATACTGCTTACGGTCGATTTTTGCGATAGAGAACTATCGAATGGAGATTCGCTTTTTGTTGCCACTCGCTTCTTCTAAACAGCGCGTTTTTCGCTTATTTCTCTCTCTCTCTCTCTCTCTCTCTCTCGCTCTCTTTCTTCCAATCTACTGTCAACCTACCGCCTGTGCAAATATATCCTCTTCATCTGAACCGTCCGAATCGAACAGGCCACCTTTTCTCGCTGGGGCTACGGTAGGTTTCCTAAACCTCTTTGTAATTCTTCATTTCAATGGAAAGCGACAGAAAAGGTGCGTTCAAAGTTTCGTTTAAGCTTCTTGTCATCTTTGGCATTTTGTAGAAGACTTACGGTAGAACCGGTTTGGCCGGAATAATCGGAATAACCGGAACAACAGCTGGTTGAGCTGGCTGGATTACTGTAGCTGTAGTGGCCGAGATTCCGGCAGAAGCTACCGATTCTCGATCTAAAATCTTGATCTAAAAGGATAAGTCTAACTTTACGGTAATCTAGTACGCTACAATACGTTAGACCATCAAATGTAAAAAAGCTTTTTTTGGTATGGTACTAACCTGAAAACTCGGGCTCCGGTATTTGGAGAGGAATTTGTTGAGGCGGGACTGGAGGAGGAGGGATTCCTGAAACGATTGCCAGTTGTAATTCCGGGCGGCTATTTGTATACCGTAATCGGTTGGCTGGGAAAGTTGTGGAATGGGGTTATCCGCGACTATCTCGACCATTTTTGGCAAGACGCTTGTGTAGAACTCGGCCGAGCCGATCAGATGGGGCTGGCGGAGCTCCTGAAAAGCACACAATTGAGTTAAAGGTCCGTTGAAGTCCAAAGCTGTGCATTTTCCCGAAAGAGCGAACTTTTTAAGCTGGAATTCGGCCAAAAAACCGCGGTCAAGCAATTTTCTCTTTGTTTTTGCTGACTCACCAGCTCAGACACCCCAATTTTCGAGCCAAAAAATGGAAAACAAGTCGTTTCTCTATAATTGGCACCGTTCCAAAGTACTTTAAGGATAACACTAAAAACTACAGAACACAACAAACCTCGTTTCCTAGCCCAGAAGCTGCTAGAAAATCGACACCGCGCCGGATGGCGTCCCGAAGCGAATTCCGGGTATCATCGTGCGATGGGGCAGCCGGCTAAAATTCCTTTTTTAATTTTTTCTAGCGAATTACCGTATCTCTCGACATTTCGGGGCTTGGGGATGGGCGGGTGAGATTTTCTTCGACGATTCGCTGGAAAAATTAGTTTTTAGGTATTTTTTGGTATTTTAACGCAAATAAAAGCCAAACCGTACGTGTTCTACGAATTGGCGACTCGCCAACAAGTCCAGTCTTCCATTAATGCACTCAACTGTCGCGTCGAGGGAGCTGATCTGAAAATAGCTTGATTTTAGCGATAAAAACTGAGCTTACATTCTGATTAATGTTGACGAGTCGACCCTGTAGATCTTGGCTTCTCGTCTGGACATGACGCAGTAGATTTTCGAAGATGGAGCATAGCTAAACGATCAATTTTGGTTGATTTTACGATGTGTCAAATTTAAATATCATCTTTTAGTGATTTCCGGCTTAATCTCCGATACCTGACTATCCTGTTCCAAGGTCCATGGCTCGACGCTACGCAGGGATTCTATTGACGAATTCATTCTTCACCCAAATTCATCAGGGTCTCGACGTTTTTCCGTGTTTTTTGCTTCTTTTGATAACCCTTTCCCTTTGGCGACCACAAACTACGCCGCTCGGCCTTTTGATGGTCAAACGGGTGGGTATGGTACGGTGGCGGGGGCGCGACTTTCGGACCCCGCAGGGTTAGTGGTAGGTATTTAGGTATTTTAAGGTATTAGAAACGTTGTATGAAATTCTGGAAGCTTTTTGAGAGGCAAGGCGCAGGGCTTCAAAAGCTTCATGAAACTTTTTTTGGCCTCTTTGATGTTTTTTTCGGGTTTTCCGACCGGGTACCGTATCCCAAGACTTACTGTATCCGGATCGATAAACGCAGATCAAGACATAGTCTAGAATAGGTTAAAATTGAAACCAAAGGCGAAAAAACGCGAGAACCAATAGAAAATAGCAAAATTCTCGAAATAATATAAAACCAGATGCTTACAGTTTCTATCAAATCACAATTTTCGATAAATTGTGATGTTTTAAAAGTTGCACTACGCAAAACTCCTACGTACGTTGGCACTAAACTAGCAAATTTCCGGGCCCGGCTCCTCAAAAACCCCCTATGTTTTCGATTTTCATCATTTTTTTTCAGCTTTTCCATAGTTTTCCTCCGATTCCAAATCCTGCCGTTCTTCCCTCCCTCCCCATTTTCCAAAATGCATTTCTGAAAAGCGAATGTGAGGGGGTGGAAATTGTATTGATGTGCTGTGTATCATCCTCTGAATCATCCCCCTCCCTTCCATCCCCCTTTCTCTCATCCATATATTTCCATTTCATTCCACCGTACAGTTCCGTTCCATTCCACTCCCCTCCACAATCGCCTTAGGCAATCGGAATTGAGTGGGGGGATATGCAAAGTGGAGTATCGCGAGATTACCAGCGCGATTTTCAGGTTCTAAAAATATGGAAAAATGTAAAGAGGGACCATATAGCGCGCAAAAAATGAAAATAGATTATCGGCTTCGTAGATACCTAGAAACCCACGTAATTAGTACAATTCGTACATCCAGAACAGTGAGGACCGGCTAGACAGTTTCGTTTCTTCGTTCCGAGACCCTCGTTCCGTTGTCTGTCTGCAGTTTGATGTCATTTCCAGGCTCTGGCTATCTGACTGGCCGTCTCTCTCTCCGCTTTTATTTGTTCTTTCTAATCGTCTTGTCCTCAACCGCGAATACACACACGAGCTTTCGGTCCCTTTAACCCCCCTTGAGGCTAGTTGATGAGTGGCTAACATCAATATAGACGAGAGAAAGAAGGGAAATGGAGAAAGAGAGAGAGAGAGAGAGAGAGAGAGAGAGAGAAAAAAAAGACAGACAGACGATCTGACAATTCGACTAATAGCGCACTAATGGCTCGGTTGTGAGAGACAGACAGACAGAAAGACCTTTCCTTTAGCTCACCCCTGTCCCTAGTCCCTAAAGTAAAGCCCTAGTACAACCGTTGTCTGGTCCCCGTCCCTTTCCATTGGATGTCCAGAGGGCAAGAAGACCTTACTCCCCTCCATCCAGAGTGCCCCCTCCCCAATAAATCACGCAAAAGCCCCCCAGCTGCCCTCTCTCTCTTCCCAACCCTTAATTTCACTAGCTCTCTCTCCCTCGGTGTCTCTGTCTGTCTCTCTTTCCCTCTCTCTCACTCACTCGCTATGTCTGCCCTTTGACCGAAACATTTCGGAATTGCGAGAAGCTGATCGATCCGGATCTGGAGGTGATTTAGAACTTTGTGGCTTGTAGTCCCCAATTTTCTAGTGGTTTAAAGGGGTATAGGAAGTCGAATTTGAATACAGCACCCATTCCAGTCTTCACAGATTGACTATCCGCACGTCCAAATATTCCCGGATAGATTTTCGACTGTCCCTTTGAGCTCCGCACGGCCATAATCCGTGGACTAATTTGACCAAGTCTCCCCATACACTCAATTTATGCATTGGACATTCGAGGGGAGGGAGTAGAGGAGGGTGGTGGAACATCTGTCCCGCTCTCTCTCTCTCTCTCTCTCTCTCTCTCGCGTGTTTAGTCTGGCTTTCGCGGATTCTGAACTGAACGCCAGCCCCCACGGTTTCGTTCATTTTGATGATGAGCCCGGGGACCGTTTGTTGGTCAGGGTGGGGATGGTCTGTCTGTATGTCTCTCTGTCTCTCTATGACCTTCTCTAGCCTCTTCTCTGTCTCTCTGTCTGTCACTGGATCTATCGTTTTCTCTAGCCTTGTATGTCTCTGTCTCTCTGTCTGTGCATGCCTCTCTCTTTTTAACTGCCCCCTTCTCTATAGCCTACTCTATAGTCTTATGTCTGTCGGTCTGTCTCTTCCTCTCTTTCGCTCTGGCTCAGTCTCATTCTCTATAGCTCAACTTCTATCTGGCTCTGTCTTTCTTTCTGTTTCTTTCTGTCTTTCTTTCTCTGTCTGATAGAACGTCTGTGTGTCTGTCTGTCTCTCTGTCTCTCTCTCTCACTCTCTGTCTCTCTCTGACCCGCGATTCGGCGACTGTCCCCGGTCCCTCTCGAGCGAATGATAGGGCGATTCCTCTCCCCTCTCTGTCCCTCCAACTGACCACTCTCTATAGACCACCCGAATCGAGAGATCCCAGACATCCCTCCCCATCTAGAGTGCCTCTCCCTTGAAGAGAGTCCAGAGAAAGAAAGACTGGCCGGCACAGGGGTGTACGCCCCGCCCCTTTCTTCACTCTCCTTTCTCTCATTCGTTGCATTGGACACGTTGGTCAGTCGCTGCCCCCTTCCCCCCTTGCCCCCATTCTCCCTTCCCGTCCTTTCTATTCTAAATACTGCTCATTCGCCCTATTTATCCTAAATATTCGCTTGTAAACAAAAGCCATCAACGATCAACCCGTAGATCCGAACTTGTGTTGGACTGCTAGGAAACGCGAGTTCCATCTCGGGTCGATCGGAACGGTCCCTCACCCTGCCTTCACAACCCCCTTAAACCCCATGAAAATCCCCAGAACGGCTTGAAACCTAAAATCAAGCTCATTTTCCAGGACTTACCGTAATCTCCGGCAGGATTGAGGGTACGGTATCGGTTATCGAGCTGACTACGCGATTGTACTATTGATGGGGTCAAATCATCGATTTTTCAAGATTTTAAGGGTTTGATAAGTGCTTTGGGTGTCAATTTAAAGATCCTGAAAGTATCAGCTATCCAGGTCTCGGGAATTTAGAGTTATACCCTTAACAGGGTCCAGTCTAGGGTCTAGTGGGGTAGAGGGAAGGGGTAGGGGATGGGGGTTGGGGGTCATTGGGTGACCTCCCCTCTCTCTTTCTCTCTTTCTCTCACTCTTCCCCGAGGGGTATGGGAGTGGGAGGGCGAGAGAGTGGAGAGATAGGGGAGAGGTGAGAGAGACATAGAGGGGATCGGGGGGAGGAGAGGGGTGACCCGGTACCCTGGTACGATCGCCCCCTCAGGGGAACGAGAGAAGAGAGAGAGAGAGAGAGAGACCCCTCAATCGATGGGGGAAGGGGGGAACCAATGGATATATGGCCTCTAGGGCTGTCTGTCTGTCTTGACCCGTGAGTAGTCGGTGTCCCCCTTCCATCGGTCCGTCCTTATCTCCCTCTACCATCATAAAGTCTTTTCTAAGGGGGCGATCGACTACTAGTGGATGGAGAGAGACAGACAGATCGATCGATGGACACGACGATGGACTGCAAAATGTTAGAGTGGAGGTGGACGTGGAAGTCGAAGAATCGAGGATTTGGGACCGTAAAAAGAGTATGAAAGATTCAGAGAGTAACAGACGAAGAGAAAGACAGAAAGAAAGACAGACAAAGAGCGAGAATGAGCATGAGAATGAGAAAGAGGGAAAAGATAGCGAGAGAGAGAACGAGAAAGATACAGGGAGGGAGAGAGACATAGAAAACGAGAGACTCGCGAGTGTTAGGGAGACAGACAAACAAACTTATCGACATACAAACAAATGAACGCTAAAAATCGATATAAAACAGCTTTGAGAGGCCTCAGCAAACTTTTAATTTAGATCGATCTGTGCTGAGCTCGAACTCAGCAAAAATGTGTATGATCCTTGCTCCCCTGACTCTCCCACCCGAAATGCAAAGAGTATTGCAGGGTAGTTGTGTCGATTTGGAGGGGCTGAGAATTTAGCGACTGCCGCCATAGATAACAGCCAGAAAACGTGGCCCCGAAAGAGAGGAGGGTTGAAGAATCGAATTTTGAAGGGGCTTGTTTCGATTGTTCCGCTTTGCAGCTAACAACGGCTATCAGAGTTTTAATTTATAGACCTTGAAAACGCTATAAGTGCCTTACAATCTACAAATTTTGGTGCAAAAATTTAGCAGTAAATGGCAGAAACGCAATTCCATGCCTACCGTAGACGATGGTTTTATTTGGCTGTGGTGATGCTGCTCAATTTTTCGAATGCTAATGTGAGTTTAAGGATGCTGTCACTCTCTCCCTGTCTCTCGCTCTGTCTCTCTCTCTTTCTCTTTCTCTGTCACTCTCTCTCTGTTATTGAACATCTGGTCGCTTCCTCTAGTGGTTCCACCCCGTGAAAGTGTCCCTCCCAGTTTACGTCCATCGAGCGTAAATTCACTGTCTGAGGGGGTTTAAAGGGCCAGTGAAGGCACGAATCTACGTATCATCTATGTATTATCCACCAAAAGCTGATTCCAGAGCTGGATAGCAGATTTGGCTTTGCGCCAAAGGCGAAGCTGGCGGCCACTTGTTGCCGAGATCCCTTTAAAGGCTCGCTGAAGGCAAATCCATCCATCCGGGTTTTCCCCTAGAAAACAACCCGATTAGTCGCAACTTTAGCCAGGACAACCTGGTGTGTCGAGAAAAAGCGGGGTGCTGAGTCTTGGAATTTGTGATAAGATAGGAAAAGACAGGGACCATGCTCTGGTCGAAAAAAGAGACCAGAAAAAATAGATTTAGCTTGGAAAAGTGTACAAAAATTTCGAAAAATTTGAGAACTACTTTTAAAATAGCTGTAAATCCATATTCGCCAGGAATCTTTGCTGGTCTCCCCTAAAATGCGGGTTTTAAAGCGAATGTGCCAGCAGAAAAAGAGAAATTTGGAAAAATAAAAACTCGTTTTTATGCCATAGCCAAAGACAGATGGGACCTTCCCTTTAAAATCCCATAAATTGGTTTTCCACCAAGAATCTCTGCTAGATGACCCTAAAAATGAAACTTTAAAGAGAGTGTGACAGCAAGAGAAACCGCAAAGTGCTGACAGACAAGTAATACGATTTTATACAATTTTTCAGACGTGGATCTCGTACTCACCCGTGACCTTCGAAACAAAACAATTCTACGACTACTCAAACGCCCCTCTCTTCTTCAATACAGTATTCATGGTGCTCTCAATCCCAGTTGGATTCATCGCCTGTTGGTGGACTGATCGATTCGGCATCCGATCGGCTGTCGGTTTTTGTAGCGAACAAATTATTTTATCAAAATTTGGGCCCTATAAATTGATAAAATGAGCGTTTAGTGTTGGCTCGGAGCGGCGACAAATTTGGCAGGGAATGTCGTCCGTATCATCGGCTCCATGGATTCGCTTGACAAGAAATGGGTCCGAATTTTCGAGATTTTTAGTTTTTAATTGAATAGAATTCAAATTCAAAAATTACTACATTTTTAGCTCCGTTTTGCTAGCCTAACAATAAGTAGCAGTATAGGATTTGAAAGTGACTGAAAAAGCGTAAAGTTTGGATTTCACGACTTCAAGGGCCCTTAAAATGGATATGGCTTTTGGAAGAGCCAAAAATCGATAATTGCAATCAGCGAGAGATAGAGAGAGAGAGAGAGTGAGAGAGACAGAAAGAGAGATTGATTTTTTTTCCGTTTTCGCAACATTACCTGGCCGTTCCATTTCCATCCTATTGTCAATCGCAGCGTCGATAGGAATCCGTGGAATTCCTCTTAACACCCATCAACAAGTGATCGGAGCGAGAGATATTTGTATTGACAGTTCCACTGCAGGGTCGAGACAGGCTGACAGATATCACTGACAAATTGCCACTCGAAATCGAACGGGGTTTTTGGCGGAAAAATACAGCGATTAAAGGGACCTGGAAAATAGCCATATTCACACATTAATGGCTAGAGAATTATCAAAAACCATTAAGGGAAATACAAATTATTTAAAGCTTTTAAAACAATATTTTTACAGTTTTTTAGCGGTTCCCAATAACGTTCACGGGGCAATGCATTGCGGCTTTTGCCCAACCATTTGTCATGTTTCTCCCAACGAAACTGGCCGCGTTTTGGTTCCCGGATGATCAGGTGAGCCTGCGAAATTCCATGGAATACGATCATTCCAGCGCAATATAGCAAATACCCTGGGGAGTATGGCGAATCCATTGGGAATTGCTGTGATGTATATGGTGGCTTCGGTATTTGTCAATGAACATCACCCGACCAGGTTTTTCCTCATGGTACGGTAATTCGAATATTCTTTTACGCGTTAGCATCGTAGTTTACAGCTTACTATAGCCCGAAAAATTCCAGTTTTTCGTAAAAGTCATATTTCTTGGTTGTTTAACGAAAATTTAGCGTGTTTGTAACCGTTTTGTTAAGCTAAAAACGACTACGGTATCTTTTTAACACAAGCCCGACACGGTAATCCTAATCGCTTTTTTTGAGCCAGGATTGTAGTTTGCATCGAATGTAGCCCTGTAAAGTGAACCCCGGAAAAATTGACTGGTTTGTTGAAATAACATTGACTATTTTTCAGAATTCGGTGGTGGGTGGAGTGGCGGTATTTGCGGGTATTATGGCCCTATTCGTTACAAGAAATGAGCCTCCAACCCCTGTTTCTGCTTCGAAAGAAGATATTCTCCCTCCACCACCCTTCCTTCAGGTATATACCGTATTCACCTAGCCCACGCCCCTAATACCGTACCCTTCCGGAATCTTTTAGAACCTTTAAATTACATTCTAGTCCAATTTTCATGCTGATTTCGGAAATTCTCTCTACAGTACCCTGAATCTATCGTATTTAGGGAGTGAAGCGTTGCCTAAAGTCTCGTCGTTTCGTCATTTTGGCATGTTCACTTGGTGGTGGGGTTGGGCTATTTAATGCCCTTTATAACAATCTACAACCGGCATTGTGTTTAAAGGTATTTAGAAATTTATTTTTAGCTCAATTTCAATTGAAAAAATGTTTATAGCCTAGTTTTCACTGTCATTACGGTAGCCAGTATCTAACACAATAATTTTAATGAAGTACATATTTTTCAGGGTTATTCGGAGACATTTTCCGGTGGAATGGGATCGTTATTGATTGTTTCTGGATTGGTTGGAGCTGCTGTTTCTGGGATTATCGTCGATAAGACTGGGAAATTCGAGCAAGTCATGAAGGTATGAGGGATCAGAGAGAGAGAGAGAGAGAGAGAGAGAGAGAGAGAGAGAGAGAGAGAGAGAGAGTTAATGAGGAACAGACAGACGCTTCAATACCCCATTAACACGCAGCATTCCAGATCTCGTTTGCCATTGCCGGCTTAGCTGGTTGTAGTTTATCAATCGCAATCAACTATGAGGTATATATATTTAGCCCGAATCCTCCTCAATCAAACGATTATGCCATAAAATTCCTCCCTTTCAGAACCAACCGTGGTGGGTCGTCGCCTCGATCTGTGGTTTTGGCTGTTTCGGCTTTGCCATCTATCCAATTGGACTGGAATTAGGAGTGGAATGTACATATCCAGTGGCTGAAGCCACATCAACTGGGCTTATTATTATGATTGGGTAAGAGAGAGGAAATAAGTGCATTGAAGAACGGGGTTTAAAGGGGCTGGAAAGCCATTTTAACTATTTTGTTGCCTATGGCTACGAAATTTGGCGCGAAGCACCGCAGCCAATCAGCCGCCTAGTAGTCCAATTCGATTACGCGATAGAAAGGCCGGCCAGCGCGTTGCGTTTGGCAAAATCGCAAGATCCAGAGCCCCGACTTACCGGCCCCTTTAAAAAGATGGCGACATTGAGAATTGATGGAAAATCCAGATTTTTCAGTTCAGTAACCTATCCGAATCAGCAATTGTCGATTCTTGGCTTTCCAGTTCCTTTAAAAACATGAATACCATTTAATCGATCGATTTCCAGCCAAATCCTGGGTGTAATCTTTGTGGTGACAACAAATCTGGCGAATGGCACCCCATCCCCTCGAGAATTGGCCATACAAACATGTGTCACGCATAATGAAGATATGGATACGGTACTCACGTGGAAATGTACGTTTCTGCATTATTTTTGGAGCTCAAAATCCCGTTATCTAATTTTTTCTATTTTACAGACCCATTCATCATTTGGAATGGATTTGTGACAATCGGGATCGCGACGTTTCTGGCAATATTCTGGCCACGATATAAGAGAAGAGCATATGAAGCACAGAGGAAACAGATACAGATGGAGAAATAGATGAGAGGAATTGAGAAGAGGGAGCGGATACTACTGTATTGTACAAAATGATCAGCCATCGATTAGGGAGAGAGAGAAAATAAATCGATTTATGCTTGTTGACGCTGTAATTTCTACAGGGTGGGTCAAAAAAAAGCCAACTTTGCGCCATATTATCTCGCGAACGGTAGAGAATCGAAGGTACGTTACCATGCCAGAATGCTTAAATATGCTGGGTATGAAGATTTAACACAACTTGATTTTTTTGATTTTTGAGTACGCAACTGTACTATTGACGCTGATTACGACCGAAAATTGTGCGTTCTTGAACGGGTGGTGGGAAAATTCTGATTTTTGGCCCAAAAATCGTTGGCATTTGTAGAAAAATAATGGCCAATTATTAGAATTTTTCAAGCTCTAGTTCTTTTTTTACAAGCAAAACAAATTTCACTATTTTGTATCTTTTGACATTTTAATTGGCAACTCGCTTCAAATACGCTGCCCATGGCTGATCTTTTGCAGGTGGTGTCTCCGAATGATAATCTTTAGTACAATACCAAATTTTACCTGATTCTATGGTGTTTTAATATTGCGTGCTAAAACGTGCCCCAGAGGGATACTGTAGTTTTCGTTTTTCGCGTTTTTCTTTTTATTGTAAGCTGCGATTTCGCTTAAAAGTTTATCATTGGTAAACACCAATAAGGGTCGCCTATGGGCCAAAGATCGCGAAGTTCTAGCCATATACCTTCCCAAAATATGCAAAAAAACTTATTTTTGAATTTAGCCACGGAAATTTCTAAATATTTTGATGCATCGGACTAAAAACTGCTATTAGTTGTTTTCCTGAAAGATCGAAACGTTTCTATGGTGAAAAGAACGAGAAAACGGCGATTTTCTGTTTTCTACAGTAACCCGCCTGGAGCACGTTTTAGCATGCCAAGACAAAATGCCATAAAATGCCAATTTTTCTGTTTTAGAATGTTCTCTGGGTGATTATGATAACGCAGGCAAAAAATGACTTACTTTCTGTGGTAAATGACAAAGTTATGAGGGAAAGTGTAAAACCCTCCTCGGGGCCCGATTTTGGACCCGAGGCCCCGGGCCGAAAATCGAATTTTTGAAAATGAAAAAGTCACCGGATTTTCGTGGATATAATTAAAGCACGCATCGAACTGTGTATGAGAGCAGAATACTGGAATGATCTGGCTGAAGTTAATGGCTAATTTTGATTTAAAACCCGAAAAATAACGTTTTTGAAAAGCCGACTTTGGGATGCTCTTCTAAATTCGTTTGCCGTGAAAAGGTTTTGTATTTGCATGGGTTCTAGTTGATTACCCAAGCTTGGTCTATGCCAGAAAAGTCGGGGCTACTAAACCCTCGAGAATTTTTTTACGTCGCCTCGAATTCGGGTATATTTGGAGTTTTCATGAATTTATTTTGAAAGATCGGATGGCCCAATAAATTTGTAAATATAATCTTAGAATGCGCCCATTAAGTAGCATTAAATAAAATTATGACAATAATTCTAGCAGCGCAATTGAATTTTATAGACTGGCACGAAGGTCTGCGAAATAGCACGAACCAACCGTTTTGGAGGCGCTAAAAAGCAACCTTCCAAAGGGGTACGGTAGCTAGAAATTGTGTACATGATAGATGGACCCCAGTCCTACACAACCCAGTGAAGAAAACACCTAGGTTCTATTCGGAACTTTAGGAATACTTTTTCAAAGTTCAGTTTCGACACCTCGAAAAAATCCATGACCAGGGGGTCGTCAAAAAACTCAAAAATTCATGGATCAGAAAAAATTCTTTGATGTTTTTGTGCGATTGTATCGAGCCCATAGACATGTTAAAAAAGCTTATTTTGAGGTCTCCACCATAGGTTTTTGTAATATTCGAAATTTACGAAATTTTTCCATATTAAATTTGAGCACGCTATAACTTGCCAACCAGACCTTCAAAAATTCCAAAATTCCGGATATGGGTAGGGGCAGCCCTTAGGTACCTACACTGTAAAAATTGAAAGTGTTAGACCACCAGCAATCCAAAAAATTGCAAACGAATTTTTATCGGAACGCACATTTTTCGGGTGTCATTTGTATTGGTACGTCGCCAAAAATCGAGAAAATCAATTTGTGTTAAATCTTCATGCCCAGCATATTTAAGCATTCTGGCATGGTAACGAACCTTCGATTCTCTACCGTTCGCGAGATAATATGGCGCAAAGTTGGCTTTTTTTTGACCCACCCTGTATGTATGTAAAAAAAGGCGTGATAGGGCGAGATAGAGAGAGCGAGAGAAAGAGAGAGACCATGCGTCATGTTTCGTGAAAAGATGAAGAAACACATGTTTTATTGAAGAAAAAGTGGATATGATGTCTTGAATGTTGCAAACTAATTAGGAAATGAAGCCCAAGGTGCCGAGAACCATTCCAATAAGTCCTCCTCCGACAGCTACAGTAAACCCGGCAGTGGCAGCGAGTACACCTCCTATCCCGCCTTCTCTCCAAGTATACGATGGTAGTGGAGGCCGTGGTGCAGTTTTTTCGTCTTGATCCATCTAGAAATATTGGATTATGTATGGAAAAATCAGCAATGTACACGCAAATTATACGAAAATAAATATCTGGCCTCGTCACCAGTCAGTCCAATTAGCATCAAAATGAGTCTAAAACGTTTATTGAGATAGAAAATTTTCAAATTAGTACTGAGTTGGGTAATTCAGGGGAGTCGGGGCGACACCAACGGCAACACATCCCCCGACACAGGCTTCGAGACAAGCCGGAACTCCGATGGCTCCGAGTCCACCGGTGACGATAATTGCAGCCCCGGAACAGACTCCTGCGCAACCTAAATAACCACATCGTCAACAATGTTTTGGTCGCCGAAATTTGATATCTTAACAACGTGAATCACCAAGAACTTGCAGTATTTCAAGCCGGATTTGATTTTTTTCGGCCTTCCCCTTAAAGCTTGACACGAGATCTCCCTTATATATGTTAATACTATTAGTATAACATTAATCTATGGAAAAAGCACTGACTTCCTAGACAAAAGAAATACGCAAACGGCCCTGCAATAGAACAGTTGATGAACACAGCCAGGAGGAGAAGCGGAAGCAGCAGTGTGTGTCGTGTCATGTTTGAGAACGGGCAAGGAAGGGACACACTGCCGAAGCCCCTGGGCCATTTATACGCTGGCCCGTCGTTGCGCCAGAGAATTGTTTTCGATGACTTCTGAGCGAGCTATAAATTACAGCGGTTGCGAAAGGGCTGAATCACGCGAGTTTTTGCCTCTAGAAATTTTACCTCGCAACGAAACACCAAAAATCCCTCTTTCCGAGATCCGAGAAAATCGTTGCGCCAGGAGATCTGAGTGCTTAGTCACCGTCGCCCTGCTCCCCCTCGACTAACAAGGAGACGTTTTTAGGTGGGCACGGAGTTTTAACGAGACCTAGCTCATTCGAAAGCGCTTGAAAAACTGAGCAAGACCCCGTTTTCCATTTCTGCGAAACGATAGCTATTGATTTTTAATAATTAAATTAAAGAATTAGCAGAAATTGGCATGATTCCCCTGGCGCTGAGCGATTTCCTTCCAATACCCCCTCCCGCGGAAAGCCAGGCCCCGTCCTCCCTTCCCCATAGCTATTTGGCGCAGTCGGTAGGGCGTGTGCCTCCCACGAAATTTTTTTGGACTTTTTGTCGGTTCGACCCCTAGGCCCAGAAACCGGTAGCGTTGCACTCGCGTCTCAGGGATCAAAATCAACTGGCCCGCTTGTGCCTCCACCGATGCTGTTCAGAACGTTTATTTAACGCATTCGATAATTAAAGTAAAAATTCAGCCCCCTAAAATAAAAAGCAAAATGAATTTTGGGCCAAGGGGTCGAACTGACAAAAAGTCCAAAAAAATTTGGTGGGAGGCAAACGCCCTACCGGCTGCGCCAAATAGCTATGGGGAAGGGAGGACGGGGCCTGGCTTTCCGCGGGGAGGGGGTATTGAAAGGAAATCGCTCAGCGCCAGGGGAATCATGCCAATTTCTGCTAATTCTTTAATTTAATTATTAAAAATCAATAGCTATCGTTTCGCAGAAATGGAAAACGGGATCTTGCTCAGTTTTTCAAGCGCTTTCGAATGAGCTAGGTCTCGTTACGAAACTCCGTGCCCACCTAAAAACGTCCCCTTGTAAGAGATTTTCGCCGTGCCCCATACCCTGAAATAAATCGAAGGATAGCGGGGGTCAATTGGCTTTTCGAATTCCGAGACGGCAATGTTGAATGCCTGCAAGAGAAATTGGACAGTTACCTGGAAAATCTAGTCAAAGAATTTATACCGTTCAAAAGCACTCGTACAGGTCTCTCGGGAAAGATTAAAACTCTTCTGAGAAGAAGAAAAGCTGAAGGCAATAGCCTGTCTTACAAAAATACAAGTAAGGATCTCCGTTCGGCCCTACAACAAGAAACTAATCAAAAGGAATTTTGTAGATAACTCTTCTAAGCATGGGCGGATCGGGGCCTTGAAACGTTTCTATGGCTTTGTCAGGTCCAAGACCACTGCACAAAATTCTATCCCCCCACTCCCTACTAGGGAGAAGAAAACGGCCGTCACTGATACGGAAAAGGCCAATGCTCTCCAAGAGCAATTCGCTTCAGCATTCACTACAAGTCCCCGTCTAATCCTTCAAATTCCTCTTATTTACCGAGTAGGACCAATAATTCACTATCAGATGTTGACTTCGGACCACACATTATTGAACGGACTATCTTAACTTCGCTCAAGCCAAAATTTACTCGAACTAATGACCCGGTACCTGCCTATTTCATTAAAGCCTGCGCCAGCTCTTTAGCCCTACCACTATCCTTGATATACAACAGAAGTTTCTACTCTGGAGTTGTCCCTGATCGCTGGAAACACGCCATCATACAACCCATATTTAAAAAGGGCAAGAGAAGAACCTGGAAACTACCGACCAATATCCTTGACAAGCTCATTCTGCAAAATCATGGAGAAAGTCATAAGGAA